GCCTCGTAAAACAGCGGAACGCTGAGAGACATTTTACAAGAAACTATTCAACTTTTGAGGAAAAGTTTTCTGGCGGAGATGGAAGAAAAGCGGCTATAGCTGAAGCTTAAAGCAGAGCAGAGTAAATGTGCGTTTTCGTTTATATTGTTTAGCCTAAACTAGGACATTAACACACACTGGACATAAATGTTGCGGCTCCCAAGGTGGTTTGATTTTTGTTGAAAGGACAAAATGTCTCTTCTTATCATTTGTGTTGTGACTCCTGACCTAACCTGGCTTTTAATGCAGAGGGAGCCGGTCGGATTTCTCGCTCATCCAGTAGTGTTTTTGTTATGTGCCGCCACAGACTGTCCGGGCGCTGCACTTACCCACTTCCAAGTTTCGCCCTTTGCGTTCCGTCAACATTACGTTATAAATTAAACATTTAGAAAATCGATTTTTGACATTTATGAATCAATTCAGAATCGTCCACGTCTGCATCGCGATGCATCTAACAATCGATTTTTTCCCGCACCCCTAATATGTTTGTATGTATATATGTATCTATCTATATTATGGCCAAAAGTATGTGGACACACCTGTGTGACCTTGGGATGTTGGACATCCCATTCCAAAATCATGGACATTAATATTATTAGGGTGACCAGACATCCCCGTTTTTGATGGCCCGTCCTCAGCTGGAAATGTCCCTGTTTTTAACTGTGAATTGAAAACATACCAGAAAGTCCTAAGAAAGACCTGGCGGCAAAGCAGACGGGCAGACGTCTTGCATTGTGCTTGTTTTGGCCAACAGAGGGGACTGGCTGCTACTATCCACAAACCATTTCTACCACTTGTTCACCTAGTTTTAGAAAGTACTATTGTGTAAAACTCGACCAGAAGCTAGCAAGTGTCAAGTGAGTCCACAACATTACTGCAAACATCTTATGAAAACACAAGGTAACCCAAGGATTAAAAGCAGGGGTGAGTTACAAGACTTGAATGGTACTACCAGGTGATAGGTAGACATACAGTCTACTTAAATATAGCTACCACGCGACGTTTAAACAATGCATCATTTTTTTAAACTGCCATCCATATATGACATATAGCCCATTTTGATAGCAGCCGTTTCTGTCTCTCCAGAACTCGAGCTAGCCTGGGGGTGGGTTTAGCGTATGACTATTGGGCTATAGCCACAAGTCTCTTTTTTGCTAAACTATTTAATATGAATTATGGGCTCATACAACCACTGAATCTTTTGTGGTAAATGTATCCCTGTCTAAGCTGATAAACATTTCAGACCCTTTTTAGAGACTTTATTTCGAAAAAGTGACAAGTGACGAATCTAGTGAGGGGAAAAACAAGAAATACGAATCTTTTCTATGACTATTGTAATTTATTCCCACGCATGCTGACCATTCATTTCATTCCATAGTTTATCATAGCTCCACTTAGCATAGTCAGCTACTCTATGATTTTTTGACACAGTTTACAAAGTTACTTAGTAAGTACCCAATATTATCAGTTAGACTTCACCATAGTTCAGTTCAACAGTTACCATGGTCAGAATACATGAAATTGGCTGCCCCCTTTTTCATTTCATAAATAAAAATATTGGATATTTTAATGTTATTTGACCGCAGAACTGGAAATGTCCCCAGTTTTCAATTCAGAAATTTGGTCATCTTAATTAATATGGAGTTGCCCCCTTTGTGGTGATAACAGCCTCCACTCTCCTAGGAAGACTGCACTGTTTGTGTTCAGTGGGGTTGAGGTCAGGGCTTTTTGCAGGCTGGAGTTCCTCCAGATCAAATTCGTCAAACCACGTCTTTACAGTCCTCACTTTGTGCACAGGGTGACAGTCATGCTGGAACAGGAACAGGCCTTCCCCAAACTGTTACCACAAAGTTAAAAGCACATAATTGTCCAAAATGTTTAGCTATATCATTAACATTATATATGCTGAATCATTAACATTATCCCTCACTAAAACTAAGGGGTCAAGCTCCAAACCTGAAAAACAGCCCCAGACCATTATGCCTTCTCCACAAAACTTTTCTGATGGCACTTTGCATTGAAGCAGGTAGTGTTCTTCTGTCATCTGCTAAACCTACATTCATCCATCAGACTGCCAGACAGAGACGTGTGATTCATCACTCCAGAGAACACATTTCCACTGTTCCAGAGTCCAGTGGTGCTGTGCTTTACACCACTCCACCCGACTCTTGCGCATAGTAATCTTAGGCTTGTGCACAGCTGTTCGGCCATAGAAACCTATTTCATGCTCCCAATGCACAGTTCCTGTGTTGACGTTGCTTCTAGAGGCAGTTTGGAAGTGATTGAGGCAGTTTGTAGTGATTGATGCAACAGAGGATAGACGATTTTTCTCTACGTGGTTCAGCACTCGGTAGTCCTGCTCTGTGAATTTGCGTGGTCACCACTTACTGGCACTTACATTTGACTGGGAAAGATCTAAGAGGCCAGAAATTTCATTAACTGACTTGTAGCAAAAGTGTCATCCTATGACAGTGCAACGTTTAAAGTCAGGAAGCTATTGTGTATGACCTGTTCTACGGCCAATGTTTGTCTATGGAAATAGCATGGCTATGTGCTTGATTGTGTACATCTGTTAGCAATGAAGCCAGCAAAAACACGAGGAGGGCCGTCCACATACTTTTGTCAATATAGTGAATCTATTTATCCATCTATCCATCCATCTTTCTGTCCTGTGTCTGTCTGAACATGTTTACCTATCTGTCTATGTGTCTGTCAACATCTGTTTGTCTGCCTTTCTGTTTATCTATCCACCTTTCTGTCTGTCTGATTATCAGTCTGTATGCATGTTTGTCTGTTTGTCTGTCTGTCTATCTACCTATCTATCAATCTGTATCCAGGTCTATCTAACTGGTTCTTTATCTATGAACAGACTTACAAGCATTGTGGACTGGAGGCACTAGGGACAGACAACGAGGAATGAGAGAAAACATATGAAATGAAAAAAACTGAAACGAGAGAAGATGAAAAATAAGGCAACTACACTTAGGCACAGATTTTTATGGAATATTTCTGTCTCGTGAGTTTATATGGCTCTTGTCTGGAAAGACAAATGCTGAGCAAATACTTTCAGCAGAGTAGTAAACCATATGGTAGAGTTGAAAGGACAAATTTACTGTGCACATACACAACCACAACTACAGCTCCCTGTGCCTGTCTAGAGCCAAAACGAAGTACCAACGTCTACGATCTCTCCAGACTCACCGTCATGAAATGTGACCTACTTCCTTAAGCATATTCTCATTCCCACAGTCGATATCCCATACTAAATCTCCTGCTCTGCCCAAGAAAAGCAGTTAGCTGCCCATTACGAATCACTAATTCAGTCATTATTGATTTTCCCAGAATATACACTCCCATCATCAGGCTTACAGGTGCACTTCCTGGCAATGCGCTCCAGACTGCCCGGCTTTGGAAACAAAACAAGCTTCTCCCTGACCACCCTTTGATTTTTATTACTCCCCTCCACCTCCCAGCATGAGCCGGGCCTGTTTGTTTTTACTCTCCATCTGTGATAAGCCAGAGCCACATGCTCTCTCACTGAGAGAGATAGACTGGCTGAAGACTACAGAGGCTTGGGCGCAGCTTAGGTTAACACACTCCCACTACAGCACTCATGGGGTTCGATTAAAGCAGATGTGGATTTGCAGCTCTTCCATGTCCTTAACTTCCACTACTTATTGCCCAAAACAAAGCAAGCTGTTATGGAATTATTGCAAAAATGTCATCTGACCAAATGGAAACGGACATGACCAGTGGTGGGATGAGCGCCAGTGGTGGTCAGCTCCTCGTCTAGAGCCTTGTTGATGTACCACACGTTTTTGATTTGTCCTTAAGCCTCATGATCCCAGAGCAGTCATTTCCACAGAGCTTGGCCCCACGCTGACCCACCAGGCATGCTCGCTTCCACAGTCCCTCATGCCTGAGTGTTTCCACTAGAACTGTCCAGCGGATAATGTTTGTATCATCACTGATTTTTATTTTATTGCAATAGGATTCCCTTCCTTGTTCATCATTTTATTTATTTTATTTTTCCTCTTACGCTTGTTTTTAAAGTTCCCATCTCCTACATTTTTCTTTCCTTTTATTATTTCCTCTGAGGTCCACATATGATGTTTGTGTGGTTTTATGTACCAAAAACAGCCATCTTTCATTTTTCCATGACCATTTTCCAACCACTCTTAATTCCTTAGAATTTGTCACTGCGGTTTAAGGCTGGTATTCTGTATGTAAATAATCACCTCCAAAATGTAGTTCTTTTTAATAAATTTATCCTAAGAAGATGGAAGGATAACTTGAGTAGGATCAGGGTGTATGTATGGACTGTGGTAATTAACAGCTAAGTGAAGAGAGACTGAGAGTCAGAGAGAGAGACATTTTGGAGGAAGGGAATGTACCCTGAGTGGCCCTGAAGAACAGCTGCCATTCCTGAGTGAAGTGTTTATAGGGCACTCACTAACTGGGAGTCGGGGGATGCAACTTCTTTATATGCAGAGGTGAGTGTTCAGCCAAGAATATCCCCACTGGGGGCATTGGTGCCACATTTTAGACAGACTCAGAAGACCATGTTATTATCACCCAGTTATTCCATTCAACATACGTACTCTCACTATTTGTTGTACAACTGTGGAGCTCTTAGTGCACCAAGATTAAGAAAACAATCCAAACAGAGTTGCAGGAAGTCTCTGCATTTACCAGTGTGCAACATGAAATTTATCCCATCATTTTTGTTGCCTGTGGAGATATTTTAAACTTTAATTTTGAAATTTTGAAAACTACACTGAAACCAATTTGTTGTTTCTGTTTATCTACTTATGGTGATGATGGTACTGATGTAATACATGTGGAACTGATGTACAGATTTCAACCAAATAGCTTCAATGATTCACTTCTGTTCAGGATCAAGATAAAAAATGAATAAATCTGCTAATATTAATTGAAAATACTGTTAAAGGAAACCAGGCAATATTTTACTATTTTTTGTTCTTTTTAATATGTTTTTATTCAAGTATTTTGCAAAACAACCAAATAAAATCTTCTAATCTGCCAAAATGCAGCCATGTAAGCGAATAATTTACATTTGATTCCTGTAAAGACTAAATCCAAACCTAAACCTGAATCATTTTGAACAGTCTGAGAGTGTAAGTATATCTACAGTCTTCTAAAATCAGCCCAGAGCAATTTTTGTAGATCTGTTATTATTTACATGTGTCTAATAAATATCTTACCAAATTCCAGAAAATTTCAGTTGCTGGATCAAGTGAAAATGATCATAAAAGAGCCCATATTATTCATGAAGTCAGATCTATCTATCCATTTACTTCCAACAGAACACTCTGGCAGGATTCTTGGTGTTGAGCTCAATGTTAAGACCTGAACACAGACATTTTGTAAAGGCAATTCTTTTATCTTCTGCACCATTGCGCAGTTTAATAAAGTCCTAAAAACATGGAGATTGGCACCAGCCTTCACAACAACCTCCAGAGGCTCCAAAGTGAAACACCTGATCCATGGATCCAGCAGGGAGTGAAGGAGGGAAGATGGAGGGAGAGAAGAGGGAGAGAAGAGGGATAGTGTTGTCTGTCTCCTTGGAGTGGAGCTGTAAGTCCTCTGGCATGTTTCAGAATGCCTGCACACAGGAGACGCTGTGTAAACACACAGTATATACACAGAACATACACATGGCAGCACACTTATCCCTCAAACACACTCTCACTAGTACATGCAAACATGCACACCACTGAGACTCACAGACATCAGGACATAAACTGCTAACATTTTACAGCCTTTTCTCTCACCTTTCTTGCTGAATTTTGTTTTGCTGCAAGAAAAAAGAAATATTCATTAGAATTTTAACTGTACTATGAATTAGTAAATACTGCAATCACATTTGCCATAAACACTTTTCATTTAAATGCTAAATCACCAGTCCCATCCAGCCTATGCAGTTGTACTTTGCATTTTAAATGTCTCTATTATAATATTACAATATCTATGTTTAACCCTCATAAATATTAAATATAGCGCAGTACTTTTTCTTTTCTGATACTGATGTTGAGAATTGGCTCCAATTTCTTCTTTAAAAGCTACTAAGCTTTAAAATGAGCTATTTTTAATTGAAGCACTTCACTTTAGATCTAAAAGCAGGCTATCATGTTCAAACTAAACATCCTACTACCCCACACAAAGAAACACACAGCTAACATCACACAGTGTGAGTGTGCTATTCAGCTAACAACACAGCATCACACAGTGTGAGTGTGCTATTCAGCTAACAACACAGCATCACACAGTGTGAGTGTGCTATTCAGCTAACAACACAGCATCACACAGTGTGAGTGTGCTATTTCAGGCTATATTTGTTACAGACCTCAGTTCAGATTAGATTATTTTTCCCGTCTACTATCCAGCATTTTCTGCTGATATTGGCCTGATATCAATCCTATCCAAACCGATATGCCTGTATCTTCAATACATAGATTTTTAAAACGTCCAACAAACAAAAGTATCAAGTCAACAGTTTCAACAGTTTACAATACGTTTGAGGACAAAATGTAGGCTAATTCTTAACATCTTACCTTTAAGGTACTGAGGGACTAGCCAGAACAGAAGTCCAATCATGGTAATAATGAACCCAAAGACTAAGACATACCACAGAGAGTCTTGCTCTGAGATGGGGAAAAAGATAACTTTTAGAAGTGCATAAACTAACACTCAAAATGTAGAAATCACTCTTTAATAATGTAAAACTTCTTTAATATAAAATCAATAATGCCATAGATACATGTATGTCGCTGCTGTCAGAACAAACCTTGTATCTCCATTTTTCAGTTTTTGACATAAATTGAAGATGCCTCTTGCCTTTTACATTGTGTGTAAATTGAATGATGAATGGACCAAAAGAAACGGGCCCCGAAATGACTGATTACATTGACTTACATTAAAAGTAAAGTATATTTTTTCCATCTCCTGTAAAGTTATCATTTTAAAGATACTAGGTTTTGTTGCAATAGCAGTGATATAATGGTTTTGATGTGATGTCAGTAATATATAATCTCATAGAATTCAAATCTCAATTTTTAGGAAGTTTTGGATGTGTTCATGATTTCAAAATGATTGAGAAAGCTATAACATCAGATACAGGTTCTATAAATCTTACTATAATATACAAATAATTTCCAGTGTTTCTCTTATTTACAAAGCATTAATCAATGGATAATTAACTTACATATTATTTACTCATTATGAATTTAATTTAATATCTTCTTTTTTTCCAAAACAACTTGAAATATTGATCATTGTACCCAACAGTATATTTCTCTTCATATTACATAAATTTGCACTGTATAAGTTAAAAAGTTAATAACAAAAACTATTAATATGGCAATTTGCAGTAAGCCAAACACATTGGCTGCAGAAATTACACCTGGACTGCCATCTAGTGGTAAAAACATGTGATTACATATGGGGGTTTTCCAGAATGGGACTTTCCAATTCAGTTCCATGCCATCATCTACTAAACGCAAATTCAGTGAGAATCAGTGGAGGCTTGACTGATCCTTGGTGTCTTACCTGAGACGGTGAGGGTGAAGCTCTTGCGGATTGGTATGCGCAGAGCCTGGTGGTGAACCCTGCAAGTATACTTGTAGCCAGAGTCGTCTAGGCCAGGCTGCAGCAGGAAGAAGGCTGAGAGCGAGTATGTGCCGTCTTTGTTGTGGCGGTGGCTGGAGTACAGCACGTTCTTCAGTACCTCAGGTAGAAAGCTGGAACCAGCCGGCTCACGCAGCCACTCAATGTTGACATCAAGCGGGTAATATCCCTCAGCATCACACACCACCTTCTGCTCTCCACCCAGAGTTAGAGACAAAGATGAGCCCACGTTCACTGACACACGAGGGGGCTCTGTTGGACCACAAAGAGTAACAATACCAAATGGTTAAAATCTCAATTAAAGGTAGAATTGTTAACTGCTAAAGATGTTCATGGTAAGTGCTGGATGTTCCATGCCAATTTCCAGGGTAGGGTTGTACATTGTACTGTTTGCTAATCACTGTCGCAATATTAGCCTTCAGGAAGGCTACAATATGCAAATGAGCCTCTAACCAGTCACAGTTGTTCTTCAGATGTTTGGAATAATCAAGGTATTTACATGATCCAGCAAACATAATAGAACAAAGATTCACCAAAGTGTTCACAATATATAGCAATAAAATCAATAAAATAAACGAGTAAAAAAATAATATTTTGTTATGAAGCTAACGTTAACATTTACAGTTAAACAATTTGCCTAAAAGGACCCATATAATAAAAATCCATTAAGTCCATATATGGAAACCAAACTGCTAAAACAGCCTGTTTTGTATTCATTGTTTCAGTGATAATGTCATGTCATGAAAATCACAAATTTACACATATCCACATTTTCAGCCTGCAGCAGTTTAGCCCCACCCACTCACACCAACTGCTTTTGAATGAGGCCCAATACAGGGCAGCCAATCAGAAGAGAGCTCATTTACATATGTCAGTCTTGAAGTCAGAGCCAGTTTAATTCCATGAGAAAAGAGAGGTTGGAAAATGATTATGTAAAATGAATTATGACTGTTTTAGTACGTTTTAGTACAAAAGCCACTTAAATGTTATAAGTGGACATCAGAGAAATAAAACAAAATGCAAGATAAATGTAGGCTATGTGTCCTTTACAGCCCTTCTAAAGTACATGCTTGGTTGTCTCACCGTGGATGTTGAGAGTGATGTCATGGCTGCCGTAGAGAGGGGGGACGAGCACTGAGCACACGTATGTGCCCTCGCTGGCCTGGGAGGTGAGGGGAAGTTTTAGAGCGGCGTTTCCGGCTCCAATGGCTTTGACAGACACTCCGCTGCCTTCGGTCTTGCCTGAGCGGCTAGAATAGCCGAAGAGCTTGGTGCGTTCGCCACGTCGCTGAAGCCTCCACTCTACGGTCACGTTGGCCTGCTTATGATCCACAGCAAACTGACAGTGCAGGGTCTGATCCTTCATTAAGCCCACTGCAACACTAGGGGTGCGTGTCATTACAACCATCGCAGCTGTTAAAGAGAGAAGGAGGAGAGGAGTTATCTTTTTCCCTCTTTACCCTAAATGTAGTCAAGACAAGACATGTTTGGTGTTGTCAAAGTTTGCTTAATTAGTTTTGCTCTGGAGTTAAAAACATCACTTTCATATCCTCAGGATAACAGAGAGGCTGTGGTCACCTGAGGTGGTCAGAAGCTCCCTGTCTGCAAACTGAATCCACTCTTGATTTCCTTCCTGTGCAGGTGTGTGTCTGAGAAAGGTGGTGATGACAAACAGCCCCTCAGTGTGTGTGAGAGTACAGGTGAACCAGATGTCATGCTCTTGTGCCCCTAAACCAGGCCAACGCATGACAATGCCTCCAGTGCTGTATCTGCGGATCTCACACTGCAGCGTGTCTTCGCCACCTTCCACATAGCGCCTCATGTCCACCTTTGAAGCTGCATAAAACAAGCAAATAAATTACTTTTAGCCTAAATACTTAATATTGCATTGAGGATTTCACTACTGCCCCCTTGTGGTGAGTCTCTAAAAGCTTTTGTGAAATATACTCACCTACTGCAAGGAAGGTGATGACATCCTGGTTTATAGGACGGTCTCCTAAAAAACCGAACTGCAGCACTGCATTTCGATGGTGGTATTTGGTCTCTTTGTGACCCTCATGATTTAAATGTACTGACTCATCCACAAACTGACACGGCAACCACTGGACATTATGCACAGACTGAGATCCACAGGGGCCTACACCTGTTCATCAAAATAAAAGGCTGCATATTACAGGGTACCACAGGCCTAAAGAAAATGCACTGTCAGGTTGCAAAAATATATAAACATCCTGATAAATGAAATATAAATAAAATATATTTGTAGTTTCTGGACATTGATGGGGTTACACAGTTTGTGTCAAATGATTGGATGCAAATGCTTTGATGTTTTTAAAACCATGAAAACATTAATGGGGGCTTCAGCCCTGTGGTAACATACAAACATACATAAATTGTTACACAATACAACCTTATATAAGATTTTCATGACATTCCTGCTTGCAGGTGGCAGAGTCACAGAGCAGACTTCTGAATAAACAAAACTGAAACTAAGCACGGCACCTCTTATTAATACTACTAGATCAAAGCATTTTAAAACATACACATTAGACGTTAACATGTGTCAAATTACAACACCCTTTAGGTCTGAGACTAATGAGGAACAGCTATGTTGTAGTACAGAATAAGCTGTAATGGAGTGAGTCAGTGGTTTGTGCCGTAGAGTGAAATACGGAGTGACGTGTCAGCTGTACATGAACAACATAAAGGAATATTTCCAACATTACACTCGACTCATTTAGCTTACCTGAAGCTAACACTGCAAGGAAAAGACCACCAAATACAATAAACATGATAGACACCGCCGTTCAGAGCCGTCCAGTCGAGGAGCGAAGAAACCGCCATGCAAACAAAGTTGCTTTCGCTTTCATTTCGGTCTCGTTTCACTGACAGAAACGTGCGCGCGCAGCGCAGATAGTGTCAGATGTAGGGGCTTCACTGAGGTCAGAACAAACAGATAGCCTTAGCCTTTATCTTTACCGCCACACGCCTAACGTTCATCTGTATGGACACCGCTTCTTTAGTAAGGACACAGTGAGTGAAAAACACAGAGCGCGTGAAGCTGTTTGTCCGCGCGGGGGCGCGAGCTGAAAGAGCGCTGAGAGGTTTTCTGCAGGTTGTTCTTCTCTGCGCTCGTCGACGCGGAAGAGTCTACTAACACCCCTCCGTTTGAACGTTCAGTCCGCATGGATGAAGACACGTTCGCGGTAACTCCGCTCTCTGAAGACCACACAGCAGACATTTAATACACACTTACCTGACAGCATCGTCGATATTCTCTGTAGTGTTTTGTCTGCACAGCGACCACCTTCGTTGTTCGACCAAACGAGTTGCTGCCAGCAAACCTACAGAACCTGCAGAACGTACAGAGCCTGAAAACATTAGAACCTGCAGGCTTTCCTGAGGAGTTAGAATGAGTAGTTAATGTCTGGTTCTGTTTGGTTGATTTGTTTTGCAAACAGAGCAACATGGACCAAGGTAACACAATAATATTAATAATTAATAATTAAACATGACATTAAGTGCATTCCTTACAAAACAGATCTATGCTAATGTTATAAGACTTTTATAACGTTGCATGATACTTCTATAACAGTCTCATATTATGTATCTGTAATACTTGTGTAGAAAGATGGTTCTTCAAGGTAGTTGATGGTGCTTTAGTAAAGGCAGTGGTTCTGTTTAGAACCATGGGTTCTGTGTAGAACCAGTTTAGGCCTAAATGGCTCTTTGCATGAAGTCAGCGAAGTCATTCTTCAGATCGATGGAGAATGTGTTGTTTATAGTTATGAGTAGAACCTTTTCAAAAGTAGTTCTGTATAGCACCAAGAAGTGTCCCTCTATTGTTACCATGTCAAGCTTGGTGCTGTGTAGCACCATATTCAAAAAGGTTCTATATAAAACCATAACCTTCATCAATCCCAAGAACCATTTTACCATGCAACAAACCATTTAAGCCTGAAATGGTTCTACATAGAACTCATGGTTCTAAACAGAACTATTGCCTTTACTAAAGAACCCTTGAAGAACCTTTTTAAAGTGAGTAGTATCCTAATCTATAGTAGTTGTCCAACTTTACTGCAAGATTCTTATAGAAATCCTATAGAAATTCCTGTAGTATTAATATAGATCTTTTTCCTAAGAGATGATGCATGAGTATGTGACTAATTGACTTGTTTCATGTCCACTAGTTGACCTGTCACTCCATGCAGTTTTTCATGGATGTATACATAACTTTTGCTTTACTGTTAATATTAAAGGGATACATTTTAATCAAAATGTCTGCACAATGCAATATTTAAGATGTAAATAGTCATTCAGTGTGGTTTCATAAAGTTACACATATGCTTCCTGATTCATGTTTTATTGTTTTCATGTTGCATTGTTTTATAATATTTATGGTACTTATGATAGTTAAGGTATAGTTAGAATGTATTGGTCTAAAATGAATGTTTTATAATCCATTCATGGCAGCAGAAGTACATGTAGGGCATTATAAGATAAAATAGTCCTAAACATTTTTTTTTTCTTTTTTTCAGATTTCCTACTATTTTATCATCACCATTACATATAAAACTCACTGGTTGTTTTGGATAGTAAATAAATTGGCTATATTTGATTTGTAGACATTATGATTCCTATCACTTCCACTGAAAAGAAATCAGACTCGATATGATTCTCCAGAATGCACCATTTTACATCAAACCACTCAGAATGACTTTGTTTACATCTCAACAGTTGAATTTTGCTAATTTAAATTCTGCAAATTTAAAAGAGGTCTAGAGTTTCCCATGGTTAATGATTATATTTCATATTTTATTATATTTTTTGTTGCTATTTTGTCCCTCTTGGTGCTAGAATAGAAACTACTGAATTTCATTGTATATGTAGTTTGCCACTTAGAAACCTAACAAATCATCGCTGTGAAAACTTCCTGTTAGAGATTAAAGACTGTAAAACTGTTTATCGTGGATTATATATTGTACAGTTGTGAGGCACAATTTGATCAGGTAAATCGTAAGAGGACAAGATGAGGATGTAACAGTTTCAATAGGACATGTTTTGCATTGTATTATAATAGTCTTATTTTTTTCCTACAGAACCCTGGCTAAGCTGTGAGAAGACTGCTGTTTTACAGGGTGGATTTCTGTTGGCAAATCAGCTATGCCAGCCAGCACCCCTCTCTGCTTTGAGAAAAGAGGACTGGGAGCGTGTTGGACGCCCTATAGTTCAGGCAGTCACCGAAATATGTGGACAGTTGTGTGGAGGCAACCAGGAGTGTCTTCAGTGGAGAAAGAGGATTCTTTGTATTATATGGAGCAAAGTCTTAGAGATTGAGAAAGGAGAGGATGTTGACATCAACTGGAAGGAAAACCCATTATTTGCTGTTCAAAATAGTCTCCCTGACATTAACCATGCAGTATTATTTGAACTGGTTAAATCAATGGGTTTCTTCAGCATTTATGTTGATTTGCTCCAGTGCTTTCAATCAGACGAGCAGTGCAAAGAGCTGGAGAGGCTAGTAAAACATGTCACAAGCGACTGCACAGAAAAGGATGTGAAGTTTTTGCTGGAGGTGTGGTGGGAGCTGATGAAAGGAAGGAGGGAAGAGCTGGACAGCCTAGACCAACTCTTTAACACCCAGTGTGCCCGCTTTACACAGAACCCCTCTGACTGCTCACCACAGGCTTCAAAACGATTTAAACCAGACCCAGAATCTGCCACATCGACCACATGCACGTTTTCCATCCTATTCCAAGGACTGAACAACATAAAAGAGTATATAACATCCTCTGAGTTGTGTTATTTTGGCCTCTCCAACTGCCTAGACATGCTGTATACCTCCTACCTGTTAGACCATGCAACAGACCTACCAGCTGAAGTTAAACTTCAAAACATTTCTCGATCAGTGAGCCTGAGAAAGAGAAATGGTCTCTTGGAGGGAGCTGACCTTACTCAGGCCATATGTGAGGCCCAAAGAGATCTTGTCGCCACACTGACTCCTGCTCAGACCAAGCCAAGTGGAATGACCCTTATCCAAGCCATGCAGACAATGCTTGGAATAATATGTTCATGGGAAATCAAGGGATTGCTAAAGATGCCCACACATGATCCAAGTGACCTAGCAATCCGTCTCAAAGATAGTGTTTGCAGAGTTCTGAAGTCTTTAGAGCTGTTGTCTGAAAATCTGGATGGAAATGAACAAGCATTGATTAGTTTGCAGAAGACTTTGAAAAATTTGCTTGCATCTTCATCTTTTACTGTGCCTGAAAGCCCCTCAACTGAAATAGTGAGTGTTGTCGTGACCATTCTTGACAATAATCTAAAGGGGTTCCAGGACCTTCCCAAACTTTATGCCTCCACACTGAGCCAATCTTTCAGTGAGGCAGAGTGGTTAAGCTGTCTTGAAAGAAACAAACATGCATTTCAGCAAAAAGACCTTGTTATGACATTATCCTCTACTCTTATAGCCAAATGCCAGAGTGATGCTAATGTAAAGCAGGCTAAAAAGCTGAAGGACATTATTGTAGACATATTCTCCCAGCTTTCATTACCTGACAAGAATGCAGCACTATCTGAAATTCTTAGCTTGTCAAAGAAAGGGTTGCATGGCTTTCTTCCAAGCTCAGTGACAGCAGGCTATGACGAGGAGGTCAATTTGGCTTTTAACAGCATCATCCAGAGTGGAGCAAAAAGCAGCCTGAGCTCAGCAGTCTCGGCTGTGGCTCGAGTTGCATTCCAGAACCCAGAGGCCACCTTGTACCGATGCTGCCACATGGCTGTGGTGAACCTTGGAGCTCATGCACTTCTTGCTCAGATTCTCCAACAGTTGCCTGGCCTCAGGAGCTCACCAGGAGACACCAAGGAGATGAGAAACAAAGAGCAGAACTTGTTGTGCAGATGTCTGCAGGCCACTGTGTGGGACAAGCTCTCTTCATCTCAAGAGGAAGACCAGTTCCTTGAGTTCTTGTCTGCCCTGATGGAACCCAGTATTGTTGGCCAAACCGAAGAGAAGCTCAGCTTCCTTCCCCCAGAGGAGGCTATGCATGCATTCATCCTGCCTTACTTCTCTTCTTCCACCTCTAGCTCATCTAGCCTTGAGTTGTGCCTTCGGCTTCTCCAATGCATTCTGTCCCATGTATCCTCAAATGACGCTACACCTTGGATAATGAGCTGCTCCCCGTTTCCTCTTTTATACTGTCTTGCTCAGCTCCTGAACAACTGCAGTAGGTGCTGGGAGCAGCCAGTAGAGGGCAGCACAGTCTTATCTATTGAGCACAAGGGACTGTTGATCTCCACTCTGACCACACTTGGAAAGGCAGTTGGCAAGGAAGTGGCTCTCACCCCTAGTACTTGGTCCAGAGCTATCTCTTGGCTGTATGGAAAAGCGGAAGACCTTGACTGGACTGTCCGCTTTCACCTGAAGGACGTGTGGGGAGAGCATTTCAAATACGAGGTGCCAAGTTCACTTATGGCTGTATGTGAGCTTTCAGAGCAAGAGTGGTCTGGCCTGGTGTTGCCTCACTATGGACAAGGCACAGGCCTGTTAGCCTGGGCGGAGTGTTGCTGCATCTCGGATCACTTTCAGGCAACCATGCTGGATTCCCTGTCTTTAAACCTTCTCAACTCAGATGAAGTAATCATGTTCAGCAAAGGCCTGATGGTGGCAGTGCTGCAGACCCTCCCCTGGTGCACCGCTGGCGAATGGGAGCGGTTGCTAAAGATGTTGCGCAGTCTTCTGCACTCAGATAAGCTTCATGTTCCATACTCTCTGGAATATGTAGACTTTCTGCCATTACTTGACCTCCGTTCTTTTGCTGTCGACCTGCGTCTGTCTGTCTTTTTGCTGCGCTTGTTCCAGCTACTCTGTGGCTCCAGCTGTGCAGACTGGCTGCCTCCCTATGGCTGGACACACGTAGGCCGGCACTGTGCTGCTGCCATGAGGGGTATCATTGACTCTGTGAGGGATAAAGTACCCCTCCCACCTACAGCAACCTCTTCCAAAAGCACTGAGAGCAGCAGTGGCGTTCTCAGCAAGGAGGTCCTTTTTGTGCTGACTCAGCTGTTCTGCCATGTCATGCATGTGCAGGTAATGATGCCAGGCCAGCCAGAGCCACTGTTCCTGTGTGCACTGGAGATTCTGTCCAACTATGAGGCTGTCCTGATGGCATATCCCAAGAGTAGCACGGCCCTACAAGGAGCTAATACACGTCACTTTCTTACTACCATATCAGACAATGTGCAGTGCACAGACATGCGAGCTGTCCTACATCAGAAGATTGCTCAGCTCTGAGTCTAAACTGGAACATTTGATGCTGTTGAATTGCAGTTGGGTTCATTAACATTATTCTTTTTTTTTCTCACAGAATAAAATTTTTCACACAGCATTAGCTTGTTGTCTTGTTCCTTATGAATACATACAGATACACAGAACCTGATATAATATGTCTGCTTTTGGCAAAAGTGTGGCAAGTTAATGTCAAGTAAGAATTGCACTGCCTAAGATTTGCTGTGTAATTACAGTATAAAGCCTATAGGGCTGCTCATACAATTCAGAAAAACAGTTGAGGTTTCGGCATTTCCAAGATTGTGATGGAGAGGTAACTAAAAGGGAACATCAAGAAGTTTCAATCATCTACTCGGTATATGAAGGGGAAGTGGAAGAGGCTAAGGGGAAGTATTCTTCAGATTACCAAGTAATTTACAAAAGAAACAACACCGTCTGAAACAAAAATGAAATACAGAATATCTTTCCTACTCTTACATGAACAGTATTTCTGATGATATAAAGCCTAGTCATTTTTTTATTCTCAAGAGACTGATCACTAAAAAAAAATTGACATCAGTCACAACACACTAGCTGACTTCACCTTACTTTACTTGCTTTTACCTCACAAACCTGCTATTGTTCAATGACTTGGTAAGATTTTGAAGTTTAGAGATATCACTGCTGTCAGAACAAAACCTTTTATCTGTTTTTTGTCAATTTGAAAACAGCAGCTGTCCTTTAGTGGGAAACCTTCCTACTACATGGCCAAAACAAATGGCTGACAATTAGATTAACCACCGTTTGGAGGTTTTATATGGCATGTATGGCAAATTGGAAAATGCAACAACTGCATCTTCTATGTGAGTGTGCATTATTCAAATCACAATGCAAATGCTTTTCAAGTGTTTACATTTCTGTGTATAATGACTGATAAGTTCATTTGGAAAAGCGAAGTGCTTTTTACATTGCATTATCTTAATGGTAATCAGAACTGGGTTTTCCAAAAGCATCTTAGTGCAAAGATTACTTTTCGGTGGCAGCACGAGCATGGCTATGAGCACTCTTAATGCCAGTATGAAGATAATCTAACAATAAGATGACTGCTTTTGCAAATATTCCGTTTTTATGTCAGACCATTGACAATGAAAATGAAATGTCAAAAGCACTTTTAACTTTTTTCCCAGTGTGGAAGAAACTCAAATAAAACAGTAAAATCACAAGTCACAATTAATGCTCCAAAATTAATTAATGTGAGGAGCAGCTGATTTGTTACCTTCCTTGTACCCAAAGAACAGTGACAGTCTAACATAGTACATTAAATTAACTAGCAATGATACTATTTATTGGCCAAAACTAAGACAGAGCTTTTTAGTAAGTCAGGGGGAAGAACTTAAGAAATCTAAATTATCTGTTCATGCTGTGCTTATCAGCAGCATAGATCTGCCTTATGCACCTTTCAACAAGCTATTTAAAACCCTCAAAACTGGTGAAACTTCAGAACTTCATGTCTTTCTTATTTCAAAAGTAACATTTTGTTACATTGCTGATATAATTACTGCTTCTAAAACCACCACCTTCTCCATCGACCCCCTCTCTACAGCCTTAACTAAAGCTTGTCTCCCTGCTCTAGTCCCTCATATCACATCCCTTCCTAATCAATCACTGTTTTTTGGCCAGGTTCCTTCTACGATCGCTGCAGTTACTACTATCCTTAGGACCTAGACCCGTCAAATTGTGAGAACTACCACACGTCTCTAATCCTCTGTTCCTGTCTGAAGATCTTGGACATTCCATTGCTCATCTGTTGCTCATCAATAATCTCTTTGAACCTTTCCAGTCAGGATTCCATCCATTTCACAGCACTGAAACTGCTTTGATTACGGTCATTAATGATCTTCTTGTGTCTTCTTGTGCTGGTGCTCTTAGCATACTTATATTACTTGATTTAAGTGCACCTTTTGCCATGGTGTGTTGTGTGTGGGCATGGACAGGTTCTTCTCTTACCTGATAGAAAGCAGTATATTACTCTATCTGGCAATACTTCTTCCACCTCTGCTGTCACTCAAGGGGTTCCACAAGGTTCAGTTCTCGGACCTCTCGTTTGTTATTTATATACTCCCTCTCAGACATATCATACGTCGCTTCAAATTAATTTTTCTGTTACGTGGATGACAACTTAGGACTAAATCCATTAAAAATCCACTCCTAACTCATTTGGAAACATGTCAATTTGAAAACTTTTTTTTTCATGCTAAACAGTGACAAGACTGAGCTCATCCTCATTGTCTCTATATCAACCCTCAAAAAAACCTAGATCTCTTACTCTCATTATTGATAATGTATACTGTGTCCCCTTCCCCACTGTTTTGAAATCTTGATTCCTTCATTAGAAGCCCACATCAATTTTGTTGTTAGAAGTTCATTTTTTTCAGTATCGCCAAAATCAGAACGTCTTTCTCAGTCTGCTGCTGAAATATTTCATCTTCACCTGCTTGGACTATTGCAACTCTTTTTTTGCCAGAACTGGCACTTCTTTTCTTCACAAACTCCAGATGGTCCAGAACTATACTACTCGTCTTCTCACTCGTGCTCACATAATTACATTACACCCTTTCTCCAAAATCCTCACTGGCTTCCCATACAGTACCACAAAGTTCTCCTGTTCACATACAAAGCTCTAAACAATCTAGCTTCTTCTTATCTGTCTGATCTTCTTCTTCACTACAAACCTACTTGTACTATCAGGTGTTCTTCAGCTGGGCTACTGACCATTTATCCATCTAACCTCCCTAGCTGTGGCCATCAAGCATTTTCGAGATTTGCCCCTCATCTCAGGAAGTCTCCCTCTGCAAGTCCAACAATCTGATTCTACAACCTTCCTCAAACCTAAACTACTCCTCTAGTAGGTCTTCCCTAAGTCCTCTCTGGTGTTGTTTATCTATGTATTACTATGTTTTCTTGTTTGTTTTCTGTGGTTCCATTTACCGCTGTAATTTTAAGTGTCTTTCATTCTTGGAAAGTGCTTTATAAGTGTCATATATTATTATTATTATTATTATTATTATAGCTTTTTAATTTGCTAGCATGTTTGTTTATCTTTACGTGATGGAGTGAAGGCTACATTTGCTCTACTTGTACAATTGACAAAGCACAAAGTCCAGAGCTTTGAATGCACTGCACATTTGTGTTTCCCTGTACCTGCATCATGTCATTGGCTAATGATAAATCCTTTTAGACCTGTGTTAAACAAGGTAAACAAAACTACACATTGGCCTCTACAATTGGAGCTGAAAAACAATACGTAATTATATCCACAACTATTATGGATGTCACTTCTAGGTGTGCCACCACTGATAAAGAGATCTGAAACGCAACATGTGGGTGATCTGCTCTGCTGTGAAACTTCATTACATTTGATTTGCTGCTTTGCTACTACTGCCCCCCTGTCACATGTAAATACTGTAACAGAGGCAGAGGTTGCAGAACAGAAAGCAGTCTTGTTCAGCAAGAACAGTGAAAAGTTATACAGCTAAAGCTACTCATCCAGGACTTGGCAAATGCGGTCTCTGTCATGGGACAACACACGGATCTAATCTGCCATGACCAAAGGGATTGGTCTTATTTGCCCAAGACAAAATTTCATCTATGAAAGGAAGGACCAGAAACTTCCAGAAGGACTGGGAACATAAGAACGGCTGTGACTATAAATGTAATTCTTCTTCTTCTTCTTCTTCTTATGATTATTAACAATAATAATAATTTCTAAATAGGCAAAACAATATACATTTAACTGTGCAATACCAAATCATGCATATCATTTCTAACGACTTATCTGTAAAAAAGATAACCAGCATTATATATATATATATATATATATATATATATATATATATATATATATATATATATATATATATATATAAACATCTAATTTGACCAGGGGCACTCAAAACTTTTGCATATGACTTATATAATATATATATTTTCATGATGTAAAAAAGTAAAATATACGTTATCATACAAACTGTCAACTAATCATTGCTAATTAATCCATTTTCTAATCAATGATGTTTTACACTGAATAACTGGGTTTAACTGAGTATTTGTGATGAAGTACTAAGAAACAGTTCAGGCATGATCTTTCTTTGTAGTTTTATTATAAGCAAAGTATGAGGTCAAACATGGCCTTCATTTTACTAATTCAGAACATCCCAAAAAAATACGATAATCATAACAAAAACATCTTACATGCTACAGTCTACGTTCAAACACAGGCTGTTTTGATGTACAAATGTGTAAACGCCTCTGAAATCTAAGGCTATGCTGGTCAGCTATAAGGGCTAAAGGTTAACTCAGGAGAGGCCGCACAGCTTCTCACTCACTTCCCAAAGCTTCTTGGCCACTGCATCGTCCCGAGCTTTGGGCTGGACTTTCTTCACTGCACAGTTGGAGAAATACTGACCACTCAGGCCTTCAATGCCCTCCTGCACAGCACAGTGTATAGTGGTCTGAGCCCCTGCCTCCACATCCTTAAAGAACACGGCTCCAATGGGTTTCAGGATTTTCCTCAACACTGGGTGGGTAGAGCGGGCCAGCTCAGAATTGATAACCCCTAGAAAACATAAACAAAGATCATCAAGTCATAACAGTGACATCCAACTATATTTATAACTCTGTAACATTCTGGAGAGGAACACTGACCTGGATGGAGGCTGTAGCAGGTGACACTGGTTCCTTGCAGCCTCTTTGCAAGCTCATGCGTGAACAGCACATTGCACAGCTTGCTGTGGCTGTATATCCTGAAAACGTCCAAGGTGGAATCGCCTGTTCCAAACTCCTTATGTGCACTAAGGAGGCTAAAATCAAGGTTTCCACTCTGATGAAGTGTTGAGGACACTGTAACTATTCTACTCGGACCACACTCTTTCAGCCTGTCCAGCAACAGATTGGTCAGGAGGAAGTGACCAATGTGATTGACTCCAAACATTAAGCCCAAGCCATCCTCTGTAGTGCCCTGCATATAAATGCCTAAAAAAGACAAAGCCATATTTAAGCATGAGTAGAACTGGCTGTGGTGGAGGTGGGGCCTACATGAACTACATGAAACTGTAGTTGATGAATAACTGTCATACAGATAACTGCTATCAATGCCTGCATTGTCTTTTCTTGTTCATCGTATGCAGCCATTAGTACAAGCCTAAAAAGGTTTAATTGGCTGATTTGCCATCTTGCTTCCTAGAAATGTTTACATAGTAGCTAACATTGATTGTACTGTCGAAATGATGCACTACACTGTTGCGCACGTACACTCACACAAATGTCTACAGTTACACACAATCATGTGTAGAGTCAAACAAACTTGTTTCTTTTTCTTTAGAATGAAAATATAAGCAAAAAAATCCACCACTTATTCTGCTTGCATACACGCTAAAAACAGTAGAATTAGTGACATGGCTATATGCTATACTTTGTATACAAATAAACAAGCATTATTCAAGGTTGCCCTGTAAACATGTTTAAAGTTAAAAAGTTAGAACTTTTGTTTTCATGATGTGTCTTTATGAATGCATTTACTGCTTTCTTTCGTTTATTTTTCCTCAAACCTATTCTGATTTTGCTTGTTGCAGCGTAATATGATTGTAAAATCCAATGGCTGTGAAAAATGACTGCATCGCACATAATTAGGCGATTATGTAATAACTGTGACAAAGCATGTTCATCAACTCTAAGGAACTTAAGCACTTGCTTTGTTGATGTATTTTCATTCTTTTCCCTTTTAAACTGTTTTTAGAAAGCCACTGACCATAAAAAGCAGGATGGCTACATGCATTTTTGGGGTGTTAGTTTTATACACACACACACACACACAGACAGACACACACACACACACACACACACACACACACACACACTATCCAAGCCGTTAATCCTTGTAGTTCGCAGGGGGTGCTGGAGCCTCTCCCAGCGGTCAGTGGTGGAAGGCAGGAAACACCCTGGACGGGTTACCAGTCTATCGCATGGCAGACACACAGACATGTACCATCACACACACACACACACACACTCACACCTAGGGGCAATTTAGCATGTCCAATCATTTATATCTATCTATCTATCTATCTATCTATACATAGTAAAATCATTTAAAATTAAGTTACACGCCCAGAATCCATGTATATTCTATAATTATATAAAAGTTTGCACAAAACCATGTAGTTTCATTCGTTCCCCACCCCAAAAAACCTGATGCAAGTCATAAAGTTTGATAAGCTGGATTGTGTTGAGGCAGGGGACAGTTGAAACTGTCCAGGGCAGGGGGTCCTGGAGCTGGAGTGGAGCCACTGTCAATGATGAAGTAGATGGGGCCATTGAAGCTAAAAAGTGATGACCACTGATGCCTAAACAAAACTTCCTCAAATTCGAGTATGTTCATCTTTTATTTACATGTTGTATTTTTTAATCAGTAAACATGATAAGACTAGGGGGAAAATATCCCATGTTTTGGTCCAAAACAGTGCGAGGCTCGGAACATTAGAGTTTTTTATTAGCCACACATGTTCAGAATGGACTGCTGGGATAGCTGGGATATGTAGTTCTGAGCCACGTTTGGTGAGCAGTCATGCTAAATAGAGGGCTCATTGCTAATTTGTATCAGACGTGTCTTTCTCAGGGTTAAAAGTCTCACTGAAAGTTGCTATGACTCGGTTAAAGCAGTTACTTTGCTGAAATGAGTCCTAAATAAACGTTTGTTACTGATTGGTGTTTGAAGGTGGCCGAACCTGCATTGTTGATGAGGATGTCGAGTCTCTTCTCGGTTTTGAGGAAAGTCTCAGCGAAGGCGCGAACGGACTTCAGACTGGCCAGGTCCAGCTGCATGAACACCACGTTACTGCTCTGGCTCTCCTGTGAACAACAACACGGCGTTTCAGATCACGGAGCTGAGCTGATTTAAAGTTAGTGACGTAACAGCTAAAACGGCTAAATGTCTCACTCTTTTCACGATAGCCACGGCCGCTTCACCCCGGCCTTTACTCCGGCACGCGAGGATGACTCGAGCTCCTCTTCTGGCCAGATCCACCGCCGTTTCTCTCCCGATGCCAGTGTTACTGCCTGCAGTAACACAGAGCTTCAGCTAACACAGCACAGCAGGCTGGACTGACTCAGAGCCAAACAGCGAGGACAGGAAACCACTTACCTGTAACGATCACCGTTTTGCCGCTAAGTTTCGCCTTACTTTTACATCTCGCCCCGGACACAATTTTCCGGATTAAAATGAAAACAGCTACAGAGACTCCAACAAACAGAATGAACGCAGACATGGCCGGTTTTATTTACGCACCCTTACAGTTCGCTCTCTCACAGTTTCTGTGTATAGAGGGAAGCGCTTCCGTAGCCAATCCGGACAGACGAGTCGAATAGTTAGTGAGTTCACGCCAGTACACGACCTAACAACCCAGCTGAACCTGTGTTTACAGCCGCAGAGCTGGCTTTAGAGTTATTTTCTGTTGCCAACACTCATCAGATAGATTGGCGTGCGTTTAATTCAGACATAAAACCTCATCTAATACGAAACAGAAAGCAGTTCAACACCAAGAACTGCAGAGAAACGTACAATCTTTTAAAGATTGAGGCTTCACAAATACAAGGGTTAATCTGAGCTGCTCATGGCTGCGACTAAAAAAACAGGGAACTCAAATCTTTTTTATACTGCTCTGAGGGCAGCCCCCCACCCCCATTACCTCATCCCACCTGTCTGTCTTTGTAACATGCACCTCTGACTTCACTGAGTTCTATTATATCTAACATGTTTGTACCTTTTACATACTTTGTTTCTTTACTTAGCCTCGGCCTTCTGTGACAATCACCTTTGTCTCTTCTAAAAGTGCCGTGTCATCTTTCATCAGACTGTTTCAGTCCTGTTCATTCATAGACCATTACATAAAATGATAATGACTGGCCTTAATCTATTGCATTTAATAATACATTATCTACGAGTTAAAACACTTTCAGAAGATGGGACTGTGCTCTTGATTACATAACATCAGTTAACATACCACACTTTTCATTTTTTCATTGATCTAAAGAGAACAAAAGTCAGAATCTATTGATTATTCCTAATTGTCACTAAACAAGGAAGTGTTCAAATATACACTCTTAAAAAGATTATTCTTTGAGGGTTCTTCAGTAAAGAAAATGGTTCTAGATAGAACCGTGAACACTCAAAGAACCCTTTGCATGATTAAAGGGCTCTTTGCATCATAAAATGGCTCTTCAGATTGATGAAGAATGTGCTCTAGATAGTTTTACCTACGAAACAAGCTTGTTACAATAGAAGAACTCTTTTTGTTATATAGAACCCTTTGCAAAAAGAGTTCTTCTATTGTAACAAGCTTGTTTCGTAACAAGCTTTGGGTGCTATATGGAACCCTTTCCAAAAGCGTTCTGTATAGAAACATGTACCACACACTCTCCATCAATCTGTAGAACTATTTCACGATGCAAAGAACCCTTTAATTATGCAAAGGGTTCTTTGAATGTTTTTACTTTTATATAAAACCATTTTCTTTTCTAAAGAACCCTTAAAGAACCTTTGTCTTAAGACTGTATGCTTTGTAAATAAAAAAGGATGAAAAAACAATGGTCGAAACTAGGGCTCTCTGTGTTTGTGCAGGCCAAGGTTCTTAGACAGTGGCAAAGTGTCCCTGTTATAGATACAATTTATGCTAAGATGAGACTGAGTAGTGTTTCCCAGACATGGTTAAAACTCAGTGATACAGTTTGCAGCACTTTGGGACAAAGCCTAATGCATGCACAGCGAGAGAGAACCAACTCAGCATATTGTGATTAACTATGGAATCAAATTAAACATAAATGATGAAGTTACTATTTTCCCAACCATATTCATAAATTCCATGAAAATCTTACACCTAATTATTTAAATACTTTTAAAAATCTCCCACATTATCAAGCTCTTCATGATGGCAAAGTGGTGGTTAGAGCAGGAAAACGGTGTAGGCCCAGGAAAACACAGAGAAGAAATACATGCTCAAAGCTGCAGTAGGTAATAGTTTTTTTTTACTATTTTACTATTAAAATAACCTGTACAAATATGTAGAACATGACAAAAATATTAGTAGCCCAGAGGAAAAAATGTCTATCCTCAGATTGTCTCAAAGAAAGAAACATAGATTAACATGAGCATTTCATTTTAAGAAGTTCTGGTGATAAAAGAGAAAAGCCTGAGTTCTCCGTCTACACGGATAAACTGCTAAAAGAGTTCTGTGATAGAGTGTAAAAGGACTCCTAAACTCATACTATCTTAGGTAGCTCATTGCAAATTCCACAAAAATGCAGCAATGCATTTAACATTTCCCACAGCACACTGAAATGATTGTAGATAGCTATAATAATAGCATGTTTAGAAGAAAGAACAGAAACATTGAACAATTTAGCCAATGTTGCAGTTGCAGTAGTAAATATCACTGCCCATTTTAGCAATACGCCTCTTTAAAACCAGGTGTCGTTCTGAAATATTCAGCAAGCTGTTGATGCTTGTGTAGCTATGCTATATCATACCATTACTTCTGTACAAGCTTAATGTCCTTTAACATTTGAACATTTTGCATATCATGATGTTTTTTATGTACTTTCACTTTTAAAGTTCACGCAGCAACTGACTAACAGCATTTTTGAGGAAGGTTAAAATAGTACATTTCACAGCCTGCAGAAGACTACATTTAATCGCAGAACTAGATAGAGTTCCTAAGGAGTAAGCAAATCAGGTGCTGCACTTCAACATATTAGCCCTAGAGCTCCAATTTTACTTATTGTATCTTTAAGCTTTAATGAAATGACTGGACAGATTGAATGAAATGAAGAACACAGAGCATTTCAGTGGCTGTACTGCCACCTAGTGGACTGTAGGCTCTCATGGCCACCTCACTTAGAGACTGTAGCTTATGCTCTACATCTGCAGTTACTTGCTTATGAAAATCACTCAAACGTAAATGTATAAAAGCTAATAAATGTACAAAATTAGATATGACAGCAAATGCTTTACTTTGGTTCCTATAAAAGATGAAGAGAGCAAATGTCCCCTCTTCTCTCATTCCTCACTACCTTTTACAAGGGGGGAAATAGAGAGCATCCTGACCAGCTGTCTTATTGTCTGCTATTGGAACTGAGACCGCAGGACCCTACACTGTGAGGGCAGATGAGAAGATCATCGGAGTGTCTTTACCCAACATTGACACCTCCTACCACAAGTGCTGCATCTGCAAGGCTGCCAGCATTGTGGACAACCCCTCCCACCCCTCTCATGGACCCTTCACCCTCCTGCCATCTGGCAGAAGGTACCGAAGCACCACCAACTCCAGACTATGCAACAGCTTTTTCCTCTGAGGTGGTCAGATTACTGAATGCACTGATGCCCCACATCATCCACCTGGACTAATCTAGACCCTTTACAACATCCACCACAGACTGATCACACACTGCTTTACCATCACTGCATGCCTGTGCTTTAAAGTCTTAATTACTTGAATCTGCTATGAGATCACAGTCTTTCTGTACAGTTTATAGGTGACAATGTTTGCACTAATTCCTTATTCACTTACATGCTGCTTACATTCGGTTCTATGTGTTGACCTCACTGGGTCAAAGAATGTAGGCTAAATACAATTAATATGCTTGCTCTAATGAACAATATTTCACAGTACAGTATGTGGCTAGATTTTCTCTTCTCTAACACGTGCTTAGGAAAGACTTATCTGATGAATGGAAACTATTTACCTAATATATGTATGTGTATAATTGATTAAAATCAAGCAAATTGTGATACAGATTAACTTGAATTTGATTTTTCTAATTAAGAGTTCCTTTGTATGACAGATTACATACAAAAAGCCAACTGTCTGATAAAACCCAGAAGAGCAAAGACAAATGTACAAACCACACATTGTTTTTTAAACCAGTTTGCTTACATTGCTATCATGCATGTATATTACTTCCTGAAGACACTTCCTCAAGGCTCCAAAACATGTTTTTTTTTCTTCTATATAGAGTTACGTCTTTTTGGTGAAGAAGTGCAACATCCCTCGATCATATCCCTTTACCTTTTTAACAAATCAAGTGACCGGTCACTATTTTGTTGCTGTCATAGTGCAGTGTGCCATTCAACTCTTGTAGCAAAATCTGCATTGAGCACATGGTACATGCAGTACAGTAGAATCAGTGCTTGGTGAAAAATGTTTCTCTCAGTAGCATTTTACATAACAGCCAATTGATCTATATCTTCCAAACGTTGGGTTGATGTTTTTCAGAAGGACAAAGACTTTGGAATGTAAAATACTGTAGTTTATGATAGAATGTGATAGACAGCTAATGCTGACACCATTAAAATGGCAATTTGGATGCAAAACAACTAATTTTGCCATCTTAGTTTAATGTGTATTATGAGTATCGTGTGTTTTTTCCTTTGTTTTTAAAATGTGCCAAAGCAACTCAACATCTTGTCTTTATATCAGACCACACAGAATTAAGACTGTACCATCCACAGGCTCTGGTTCTAGACCAGTGATAACAGAACAACATGGCTGTTAAAAGAACAGTTGTCCAAAAATCTAATTTGCATAATTTTCTCTGTAGTAGATCAGCCAAAACACGTTTACAATGCAAATTATGCTTCTGAGTTTTGCAGTGGAGCTACAAGATTTATGTAACAGAAGTCTGTCAACCAGGGATTTTTTGGGTGACTTGGACTTTCATTACTTTTTTACTGCTTTACACTACATTAGCCTCGTAGCTCCAGTACAAAAATAAAAAGCAAACTTTGCACATCAAATGCGTCTTGGCTGATCTACAATGTAAAAATGTGCAAATTAGGTTTTTCAGTGAGCCATTGCTTTAAGTGCTGCTTTTTGATCATGACCACAGTCCAAGTTTATTTTATTTTATTTTTTCGTTGGGGGGTGGGGGGGCTGGGTAATATTTCTCCCTTCACTGAAAAAACAGTGCATTGAATTTAAATGCATACATAATTTTCTTATGAATAAAGTATACCTGTATGCAAATAAATAGTAAATGAAATAAAACAGTAAATGAATAATTAAATAAATAGTAAATGTTCACTAAACTTGTTAATGTAATATATTTCATAGAAACACTGTACAGTTTGGTTCCTTTATGAATGCTTATGCACTTATGAACTAGTTAGTAATTGTTACACCAAGTAAGTGGGGCACCAAACATATCCTGACTGATTACTCAAAAAAACTGTAATAAACTATTATGTTGATTAAAAAGTAATACTTCAGTAATTGGTCTTGAGCTAGTAGTTTATGATCTTAAGTAGAAGTAGTGGGAGCCTAGTGTTACCTGTTTCATTCATGTAGAAATAATGCACACATTTCAATAAAGTAAATTCAGTGCTTCACTTTTCCAATGTTCCTGAAAACTGACACACCCCAACATACACTTCTGGATGGATGTCTGTGGATATGTCCCACACCTCTGTCCAAACGCAACAAGCATTTCCTCCCACTGACATTCAAAAGTATGGAAAACAGAGCAAAGGAAATTATAAAACATGCATATGTTTATTTGCCAAAAGTGTGCATGTTAGACATACAGTAAATCAATTTGATGAGTTTTTTTTTCCAAAATAATATTTCCACATCATGATCAGATTTCGACTGACCCATTTTCATTTTCACAAATGAAAAAACATTTTCTCCTGTTCTACAAGTTTCATCACAGCCTCTCTGTAGTTGTGAAGCAACAAGACTGGAACATTTAAATAAATAATAATAATAACAACCAAATAAATAAAAAAAAAATCCTTATATAGCGAGACATCAACTGACTGGATGAGAGTGTCTTTCGATTTCCAGTTGTTTTATTTCATTCTGTAGGCTCCATCACTGGATAAAAACTGTACAAGCACTGCTGCTAGGCCACTGCTATTTAATCTCTACAAAAATAAGATCATGTTCTCCACGCTCTTTGCAGTGCTTGTGGAAGTTCTCTGATGATCAGGATATTTACAGCAGAGCAGGAAAGAACAGTACGAGGGTGATGAGGTCAAGATGAAGATTGGAGGAGATCAGAGAAGATCAGAGGAGGTCACAGAAGAGAGGAGAGGTGCTGGGGGAACTTCCACAAGGCAAAGAAGGGCTTGAGGCCCTCAGGGTGGATATCAGCAGTGTGGCTAAATGGAGACTTCATACTCTCTTGTGTCCTGTAGATCATAGACATACAAACATTTAGAAAAGGCCAAAAAGTAGAGCAGTATGAATTCATTATATTTATTATGAACTAAACAAGCAAAAGTAACTTCAGCCGTGGTACACATTGACTACATTTACATGCACATCAGTGGTGCGATATCAGTTGTAAGTTAGACCGCTAGTCTAACATGATCATGTAAAGAGCACAGGTCAGTCGGAGGCTCTGACTGAGGTCTGACTGAGGTCTTAGTAGACCATTTCTTACAACATATGGTCAACACTGATATTAGCTGGACTGTTTGAGATTTGGATGTGTATATGCTTCACTCACTCCACTGACTCGCATGGGGCTGCAAACCCTTTGATATATTTGATGAGTGACAACACTGTAAGTTTATTCAGTGTTAACACTGATGACTTTAACTGATCCACATGTAAAAAAGGGAGCACTGGTATTTTCAAATACGATATTGTATACATAAAAACTATCCTGATTATCTTGTTTTCCTTGCCGCTGTTCTCCTCAGTCTGTCCATCTAAGGGTCTAGACCCAGATATCCGTAAAACTGCTTTGGGAACATGTCTGCTATTAAAGGGTCAATATCATGGAAACCAAATTTTCATAATTTTTTACTTCACTTTGGAATGTAAAGATTGTTAAAACTTTAGAGTATATTATTCACTTCTCATTCCATAGCCAATGCATTTATATATGTCCACTTATGGAGGTTATAAGGAATGTTCTACCTCAGACTGTTTTTTTGAATCAGGCAATTCAGATAAGAGATCATTTACATATAATAGTCTTCATATATCAGTGAGAAAACAGTCTGAACAGTACAAAGCATAAAGAGAAGTTGGAAAATAATAATGTAAAAATGAATCATGACTGGTTGCCTGTCAGTGTTTTTAGAAAAGGAGGGAAATTCATATGTAAACTAAAGGCTGATTTATGTTTCTGTTCACAGACAACTGTAGCTTGCAGGTTAAAACATATGGTTCATGTGCACGCCTCCAAAATCTGAGAGATGCCCAAACAATCAACCCGAACCAGTAATATCACAAAAATGAACAGAAATGAAGGTGCAGCATTACCAACATTTATACAACCTATTTTCAAAAACAGTGAATAGAGTTCTAATTTTTGGAAAGAGATAGAGAAAGAGAAAGAGAAAGAGAGAGAGAGAAAGAGAGAGAGTAAAATACAAGACTTCTCTTTTTTAGTACATTCTGAAATAAAAGTAAACTGGACTACAAATAGACTATTTTTTTTTTATAGAAATCATGTAAATGTCTTTGCTTAGTGTAGTTTCTAAGCCTAGCTAAGGACTTGGCTGGGCTATTGTGTGCATGTAAATGTAATTAATGGTGAAGAAAACAAGGGAAGTATAAATCAAAACCAGTACAGTATATAAATACAAACAGGAGAAAGAGATGGGAAAACAAAGAGACACCCATCACACCAATGGTTCCAACCTGCTTTGCTCCAAATGGCGCAATTCCACTGATCAACTCTCCTTACAGGCTTTGTCATTACAACAGTATCCTATAGGGAAGAACCGCTGGTGTCTGGGGACAATGATTGGTCTCTGTTCAAACACGAAACCGTCAAAAGAAAAGCAATGAAAATCCAACTAAAGCTGATGTCACAAATAAAAAGCACACGAAAGAGAAAGAACGTAGTTTGGACAATGTTAAGACTTTCTTGGGGAGAAAAAACCCAACAAGAACAGGTATGACGCAAATTCACTGGACTGGACTAATTTCTAACTGAAGTACATGTAAAGAGTACATGCTGAGGGCTTCATCCTACAGGGAACAGACACTTCAGATTTTGTTTGTCCTGAAGTGCTAAAGACTCCCAGCCCCAATCGAGTGGAGGGCAGCTCAGATATAAAAATAGTAAACACATGAGGGAGTTTATCTCCAAAGGCAGCTTTTCTATTCACACCTGACAGAGGTGCTGATGAGTCCACGTTTGCTTCAGATCTACTCACTGACCCACTTAATGTGAACACATACACACACACACGTCTGCTGACAGTTCAGTGTCCTGGATGAGAGATGAACCCACTGCTGTCTGCAGCGCTACACTGGAGCGCTCCAGCCACAGGGAGATGTGTCAGAAGACGAATGGCACAAACAGCAGGTGTGAATTAACTCCACGCTGACACGCAGGCACAGACAAGCAGCCTCGAATACAAGCCAATGCTACTGATACAGAGCTGTCAGACATACTCACCTCACTGTTCTTCAGGGATGCAAAGTGAAAGAGAGAGAAACTTTAATTCTGATATGCATCTTCGGACTACAAAGCAACTCTTAGTGAACATATCACAAAAGAGTTTTGAGATTTTACATTTTTTATAAATCATGTGAAAACCAGGTCAAGTATCCATGTTTTTACTATTTAAAGTCAGATCTGAAATTAAAATGGATCCTTTTTGGCAGCTGTAGCCAGTCAGCAGCCTGTCAATGTTGTCCACCCTCACACACACACACGCACACACACATACACATACACATACACATATACAAACACATTCATACACATACACACACAGACACACACACACTAACAGGAGGCCATGTAGGAGGAGAACAGAGTGAAGGGATGTAGCACCTCCATGCTTTTATTCCCCGTGGCTTCACCCCAATACCACATGTTTAATCTAAATGTGTAGAGGGTGAACAGCGTGAATTGAAAATGTGTTATTTTATATGTTCTTCACAAAAAATGAGCAAAGGCCAAGGAATCTGAGGTTGACATAATAATAAATCGCATCATTTATCCTTTTGGTAAACAATGAAAATGGGTACCACAGACCCGAACACCACACAAGGGTGTTTTACCTTGCTAAATACATTTGCTCATGGCGCCTCATCCTTTAAATTGCCTAGACTATTTGTCGTTATTTTCCTTTTAAATCAGTAAGTCTACTATCACATAGGAAGCTTCAGATGATATTTTTCTAGCATGGCAGCTAACACCTCAGTGTAACACTTACTCAAAGCAGCGCTTGCAGTGTAAGTTAAACTAAGACTGGAATTTTGGATGATGGATCAGAGCACAAAATGCTTCTGCAAGGCAAAAAAAACCCTAGCCATTATTTATAATTGTCAACAAGCCGATAAAGCTTTACACAAAACAATACCCATCCCATAGGCAAGTACCCAAAAGGAATGCACTCTAAATGAATGGACTCTGGTTATTACAAGCATGAGGTTTAGCATGGCTCCTTGTCACCCTCACGATAAGTTAATGAAGGCCTGGCGTTCTCTACTGCATTTAAACTCCAGAACGTCACTTCACAGCTAATTAGATGTGGTAAATGAGCCTGCAATATGGTAACACAGATGGTGTTTTAGGAGCATAATTTCACTCCAGATGTGCACTCAAAGTAGTGGAAACCTGAGCACAACTTGTTCAAGGCACACAAGCAAACAAGGAGGAAGCGTAATATGTGTGTTTTTCCTTCTAAGATGTGACCTGAAAAAGCTTTAGTGCTCTTCAATATGATCGTCAACATGAGGACTGAAAAGTGACCCTGCTGACCTGATGTCTGTACTTACTGCAGTCTCGTAGATGGGGTTTTCAAAGGCCGATTCCCCTCTGATCTGATCGTACTGTGGTGATGCTGACATGGGCAATCGCAGAGACTTTCCCTGCACCCTAAAAAAAAGAGCAACAGCAAAAGCTGCATCTGTCACTCATCTGCATGAAGAGTGAAGTCATCAAAACGGCTCTGCCGACAGCTTTTGACAGCCTGTTAATCAAGCTTACTTTGAAAAGTAGAAGTATATTGACATGACGATTAACATGATTATAGCCACAGGAATGAAGATGGCGATGGCCATGTTGACTCCCTCCATGCTGAAATCTGTCCTGGCAACTGGTCAGAAACAAAGGTTTTGGTTAGCATTGGTTTACATTGCATTGCACATAGTCAGCAGAAGCTATCTGGCCTGTAATTTATCATTTTTATGTATTTTAGACAAGCAAAAGTGAGAGTTCTTACCATCAAGTCTGCGTTCATTTACATACTCCAGTGCTGCTGCTGAAAAATAAGAAAAATATATTAGATTAGATATAAATACAATGAATTTCATGCATATTGTTTCACAGCTATTATGAATTATGTACTAATATGAAACTACTATTTAATAAATTGTCACTGTTGTGAGAAAACCTTGCATCTCTAAATGAAAACTTTGAAGGAGATGGAAACACTAATATAATAAGATTGAATTTCCAGTAAATGCTGCTTCTTTCCTTTAATCCATTTATCATTAAAATGTTCACATAATATAAAAGGCAGCTGCTGTTTTCAAATGATGTGCATATTAAAAACATTACTTAGAGGTTAAGAGGTTAATAGTATTGATAATACTAATAAAGTACTAAATAAGGCTGTCATTATTAGTTTAAAAATCATTAAAAGTCATTACTTGATTAAAAAAAATAATAATAAGTCTACCTCCTCAAATAATTGACAATAAATGGTAGGCAATTTGCATGATAATGCATATTTTAAATTCTCCTGCTGATCTCTGTTACAGTAAGAAAGGCAGTATTTGCCTCTAAGTATTTAATATATTTTTAATGTAATTTTTATATTTTTAAAAATTTAATGTAAATTTGAAGCCCTTCTAGATGATCTTTTTCCAACAAAATATATTGATTTAAAAATTAAATTGGTAGATGACTAATAAAATCAACAGTGACAGCCCTATTACTAACATGTTACTCATCAGTTAATGAAAACATACACATGGGGTAAGATGGGTTGTAAAGGTGGAATCTACCTTTGCAGACTGGAGGGGGGTGGCTCCATTTGGAAGGGTGGCTGGGGACGCAGCGGATGGTGGCCTCCCCAAACAGCTTGTAGCCACTTAGACAAGAAAACCGCAGCGTCTCTCCAGCCTGATAGAACTGCTTCTCTGACACCTGAACACCAAACGCTGGGGTGCCAGGATTCCTACATGGTTCATACGTATCAGCTGGAGAGAGACAGAGCACACATGCACACCCATAAGGTCATAAATACGTTCCATAAGTATTAGCACCCAACCTATAAATCAATTGGTCGATAATGTCAGCTGACATTGACAACCCGCACTTTTATTGGTATTAACCACAATATCACCGATAATCATTGACTTTCCTTTGATTGATTAAAATTTCCGATCACCTGACAAATCGTAAAGGAATCAGTCACCTCTTTTGTTATCAAAAGTTTTAGTCCCCTAAAATCAGTATCAGCCACCAAATTTTCATATACGTTGGGCCCTCACATATATCCACAAGACTGCAACAACAAAAAGTTTCAGAGTTTGAAAAACAAAACGAAGAAAGGTTATGAAAGAAAATCAAATGAAGAATAAATATTCTTTAGCAATTTTGCAGTATTTCTAGGTCACTATTCAAACTGAAGCAATTTGACCATGTTAAGGCCTTTGTACAAAAAAGGTCAGATTTTTTTTATTCCTTCCCTTGAAACACGTGTTCAGACGACTCTCAGGTTGATTTGATCTACTGATCAGAGGCTTTTCACAAATATATGCCACCTAAATACTAGAAATCTTGAATTGCATGTAAACATTGAAGCATTACATGCACACACGTGTGTGTGTCTGTGTGTGTGTATGTGTGCGTGTGTGCATGTGCGACCACCTACATGTAATAAGAACGGGTGTAATCCTAACTCTAACCTTAACTTCAGCACCCAAAAAGAACTGATTTTGCCCTTTCAGTTACAAAATTAAACATAAGCATTTTTGTCCTGAAAATATATGAAAAATTATACACACATGCCTCACATGGCACAATGCAGTAACAGACACTTAATCCAATGCTGCTAATGAAAGTGTCACAGACTGGTTCTAGAATATCAATCTCTTCATTACATTTAATGAACTGTGGCCTGATCTTCAGGACTGAAACAGTACTCACGGACGCATTTGGGGAGTTTCTCACTCCACTTAGGGCCAGTTGAGTCGTGATGATAGCAGGAGAGGAGGCTGTTGCCAGACAGTGAGTAGCCCTTGTTACAGATGTACTGCACTGTGGAGCCCACGATGAGCCGAGGGCCAGACATTACCCTGCGGCTGTGTTCCACCGTGCCGGGGTCTGGGCATGACAGCACTGAGGAAACACACATAAACATGACCATATGAGTGTAAAATCAAATTTACACCCTTAAAAAAAATTTATTTTACCCCAACACAAATGTAGTTGATCAACCAGTCGATCGGTTTGGTGTACGAAGTGTGCTTCTTTAATTTTGCACTAGAGCTATGAGGCTAATGAGACCAAGCGAAAGGATATACTCAGAATATAAGTCTGTGTATATTGCTTTTCCTCGGCAGGCATAATGCTGAATTAGGGTGACCACAAAAATTACAATATTCTGTAGTTTAGTAAAAAATGATTATAAATATGTGTAAAATATGTATTATGCATGCATATATGTACACACAGCTTAAATGTGTAATATATGTAATATATGTGCCCAAGAAAAGTCCGGCCCAAGAAAAGAAAGAAAAGAAAAAAGAAAGTAAAAATTTTTGTTTTAAAAGTAGCCTAAAGGTTCAGAGTTTCACAAACATGCTTTTGCAGTAAGGATGTCCCTGAACCACTTCTCCAGTTGAACAGGCTTGACCTTCGGTTTGAGTTAATGGCCGGTGGCCATTCCACCCGGGGGGAATTTAATTAACATAATCAAATAAAATATTTTTTTTATATTTGTACATAAACACAATAAAAACACTTTCATAAATGTTGAATTGCTTGTTCATCTACAAAGATGAAATCCAGTTTGTCTCTGGTTTTATAAATCACACACATTTCTATCATACATATACATATATACATACACACACATCATACATATACATATATACATACACACACACACACTATGTGTTTATATATATATAGAGAGAGAGAGTGACAGAGAGAGAGCACCTGAGGCAGAAAAACAGGTGTATGGCCAGCTAGAAGTTTATTTTGGTCACAAAGCTGCACCAAATTATCACTGTTCCACTGAGGAAGACCACAATAGCTCCATGCATGATGGCTTGATGGCTGACTCTGGCCCTCCCACCCTGTGTGCAATTATAACTTGGTAAGAGTTTCAGCATCCTAGCCCTCGTAACCCAGCATGCCGGTTCAGTTCTGAGTTTCACCAGTAGGTGGCATTAAAAGATCATGACTGTGCTGAACTGACAGTGAAGAGAGCATGTTCACCAGACCAAATTATCCTAGACTTTCTCATCTTCACTGGAGAAACTGCAGTGTCAAAATGAAAAATTTAACTGCAACTTGTTTTTCAAGCTAATTTATTGTAAAATAGCTGTTAAAAACTTGACAGAGGCTTACATTTATTCCTCTGTAACATTCCCCCCTGCCATAATAAATGAGGCTCATGTCAGCTGTGATTTATCAGTCCATGGATAGGATATTTATATAGACATTCTGGCCTCAAACCACACAGCTTTTGATAATCAATCATGAGTCAGGGAGGCTCAGTGGTGTAAATTCTTCAGCAGACTGATAATAGTTTGTGACTGAATACATTACTATGTAGCCCTCAGCACGGGAAGGCATTTAATGAAGAAGGATTTCTTAGAAAAGCTGGACAACAACGAAACAGAAGCAAAGAAGATGAGGGACATTCCTATTGGACATTATGTGAAAGAAGAATGCACTGAAGTGTACTTTTCAAAAGTTTATTTAATATGAACACTTTAAACAAACTTTAATTGATACTAAATGCATTATTTAGGAACAAATTATGGCAACATAAGTGTATCTAACTTGTAATTAAGCTATAATTACATATATATTAAATGCATTTAGCTGTGCTTTTGAATGCATCTTTTTGCACAACTTAAGTTGCATTTAAGTAGATTTAAGTACATAATTTGTAGACATGACTGTTATGAAACATGAAATATACACTATATGGAAAAAAAGTATTGGGACACCCAAGCATTAGACCTTAAGGAGCTTTTTATCATATCCCATTCTAAATCCATAGGCATTAATATGAAGTTGGCCCCGCCTTTGCAGCTACAACAGCTTCCACTCTTCTGGGAAGCTTTCTACAAGATTTTGTAGTGTGTCTGTGGGAATTTTTACTCATTCATCCAGAAGAGAATTTGTGAGGTGAGACACTGAAGTTGGATGAGAGGGTCTGGCTCACAATCTCTGTTCTAGTTCATCCCAAAGGTGTTTGATGGGGTTGAGGTCAGGGCTCTGGGCAGGCCAGTCAGGTTCTTCCACACCAAACTCACCCAGTTATGCCTTTATGGACCTTGCCTTGTGCACTGGGACACAGTCATGCTGGAACAGAAAAGGTCCTTCCCCAAACTGTTCCCACAAAATGTCCATATTATCTTGGTTTGCTGAAGCATCAAGATTTCCCTTCACTGGAACTAAGGGTCCTAGGCCAACCCCTAAAAAACAACCCCATTGCATTATCCCTCCTCCACCAAACTTTACAGTTGGCACAATGCAGTCAGGTAGGTAGTGCTCTCCTGGCATTCGCCAAACCCAGACTCGTTCATCAGACTGTCAGATAGAGAAGCGTGATTCGTCACTACACGGAATGTGTTTCCACTCCTCCAGAGTCCAGTGGCGGAGTGCTTTACACCGCATTTCAGTGCTTTTTATTGATTCATGCCGTAACTTAAATTGTATTTCAACATCACTAAATGTACTTAAACACATTCAACACAAAAAAGTGCATTTAAGTGCATTTTTATGAACATTAATTAAGAATATACTTACATATATTATTAAGAATAACCAAATACAACTTCATGTACTTAAATTATATTTAAGTAATGTTGTAAAGCTGAATGTTTTTCTGTTCTATATTCTAACAACAAAAGTTAATGTAAGCAATTATTAGGACACAAATTCTAATATTTATGAAACAAATTTTTAAAGTATTCTCTTGGGTGCACTGATAACTATATTTTTACTTGTACATAGAAATCAAAACCTATTGACTTGAAACACACTCATAATAAAAGCCAATGGGCAGTTGCTAAATTCCACCATTTGTGCAAAACACATTCTTAGACAACACTTTTATGAAGTCAAAGGCATTTGCGGTAAATTAAGTTGTAAATGTGTGCAATTTATTTCTTCTGAGATGAAGTATTTCTTTAAGACACCGAACTACAGCTGACAAACCCTTTAATAAGTATGGCATACAATAAGATATTAGAGTAATATTAGAGTAAGAAAAACAAGTCTAGATGCCCTGCCCATCCTTCACGTCCCCACATCTGGATTTGTTCCCACCAAGGCAGTCAGCCAGAATTACTCTGCTCAACTCACTCTGCCTCCTCAGTAGGGAAGGACGGTGGTCAGAAGGCCAGAGAGAAGGAGAGCCTTGTGTCCTTTAGTCCGCAGCCATCGAACACAGCGTAATAAAAAGATTACTACAGCTACACTGCCACAGCTGCAGCCCACAAACCCAATTCTTTCCTCGGCAGGAGAGGGGCAGGAAAGCAGAAGCTGGGAGGCAGCCACTGAGCCCTGCTGCTGTTCTTCTGCTGCTGCAGCTTTTTTGTGCGCTCCAGAGCCAGAGAACAGTGCCAGGGTTGCTGAAGGCTCATCACACCTTACCAGCCACCAGCACATAAGACAACAGGAGTGTGTGGATATAGGTGCCAGCTTTGTGCATGCTTTGGAGCTTATTATAATATCTCCAATATTTCAGACTTCAGCAAATTATTTGAAGGCTTCCCACATCATATTGAATAACATTTAAAAACATACAAAAAAAAGCAGCAACACTTTACTTGATCCCTGCTATATGACATTGACAAAACCATGCCGTAAGCATGTAAGAACAGGTGTCATGTGCTGTTATAAGTTATGATGACAGGTTAACGCTATGTAGCAAGGTTCAGGTAAAGTCTTCCCGTTGCCATTTCAGAGACAGCAACTATATGTAGGCTATTACAAGTACCCCCAAATTCACTTCATAAGTTGTGGCCTATGTGTGTGGATGGGCTGGGATAAAAGCCCAGCTTGCTACTGCAGTGCGTCTGCCCACTCACACAGTGCACAGGGTGCACACGTCACACAATCCACAATGAGCTGGCCGAGGTTTAATCCTCAGGACGCCGCTGACAACGGCTACAACAAAAGACAACAAGTAGTGCAGCCGTCCTGCAATCGCCTTTGATGAAACACTGTGCCTGCAGGGACCCCTGGGGGCTTTACCAGAGGACAGCTACAGGAGCTGCAACACACTTGCCAAAGCTGCGCACAAAAGGTGTCGTGAGCTGTGTGAGTGGGTGTGCGAGAGCGAGTGAGAGAGGCTGTGAATGGAAACCGCACCTTCAGTATGAGAAGTCTCACCCAGCAGAAATGTGAGCCATTACCCATGATGCTCTCCTTCCCTCTCCACTGTCCTTGAGCAGGGCTGCTCTGAGAGACCCTTATAAAATTCAGCACCTCAAATGGAATTCAAAAGGCCATCTCGTCGCTGCCTAGAGCTTTGCTTCTGATCAATGGCCACTCTATATTGCTTTGAGAGTGGTGTGAAAATGGATGTGAGGAACAATGGCTTTGTGTGAGGGTCTATTAGTGTGTGTTGGGGCACAGGGTACACTACAGTCATACATCTGTGACCACGTGTTTTTTTTTGGCGGGGGGGGGGTTTTGACCCAATTTTCCTCATAAATTAGTCATATCCCATTCCCATCTGCCAGCTAGGTCTCCCCATCACACAATGCTACCAAGCTGGGAGGGTGAAGGCTAGCACCACCTTCCTCTGAGACATGTGGAGCACCGCTGCATGTTTCTAAATTGGACAGCTCAACATGCTTGGAGGAGAACATTAACCGCCAATTCTGTTACCTCACCTAAAAGAGACTTGCAATCACCACTGCACTAAGTGATGGGGGAGAGGGATGACCATCCCGTCCACCTGGAGATAGTGAGGCCAGCTGTGCTCTCTTGAACTTTCAACCACAGGCATTTAGATCAAAATGTCTTTCACATGTATTCAGTCAAGTGTGTGGTGTGTATTTTTCTTTGACTGATGTGTGTGTGCATATGTGTGAGTTTCACCTCTCTCGCAGGTGGGCAGGTCTCCACTCCAGGTCAGGTCCCACTGGCACATCAGCATTTCAGTGCCCACCACTTCGAAGCCTGGATAACACTGATAGGTGACCACTGTACCATGCACCAGCTCAGGATGAGACGTGGTCTTCCAGCCATTAGTGATCTCTGGAAGCTCTGGACACGTGTCATTACGAGGGACCTCTGCAGCGACAGAAAGACACATTCAGAGAAAGAAGAAGGCATTAAGACAGCTGCAAGTTTAACTGTAATTTATGGTTCATGCTTCTTTAGGTCTGAGCTGGAGCTATGAGGCCAGTTTAGCTAGGAAGTAATGGAAGCTTATAGCTACTAATTAGCATTGTGCAAGCTGCATGCCTCACATTCTTATCTTAAACCTCTAAGTTAAAAGGGAATTCCACTCATTGTCTGTATAATTTAATCACTGAGATGTAAACAAAGCCACTCAAATGATGTAAAATGCGCCATTTTGGAGAAACTCACTAACTGGGGTTTCTTTACTGTGGTGGTGATTGGAACCAGGGGTCAATAAGCCTTCAATGAAAATGGGAATGCTATTTTATCTACAATACAAAATGACCAGTGAACCTACATTTCTCTTCTAAGTTTTTATATGTAATGTTGATAATTTTAAAACAATGATACAGTATTTTGACTTGTATGCCCCTCTCCACCACAAAATCAGTTTAAAAACAAACAAAAAAAAACATTTTTGGACAAAAAACCTTATCAAAAAACTATCATGAACATCTCAGGTATCAGACAATGTAATTGTTACCATTTCCTTTAACAGCTTTCTGTAAGGTAGCTTTTAGAGGACTTAAATTCTTCAGATGTCTGGTTCCTTTCACCATCACTGTAAATAATTCTGACCCTAAAACAGTGCATTTTACATCAAACCACTCTGTTTACACTCTGTAACCACTCTACCTCTCTGTTTTGTCATGAAAATAGATAAAAGGTATGGCCAAATTCAGGCTCCAGAAGAGACGCTACTACTGTTTTTAGCTACATAATGTCCTTTTTATTTTTATTGTTAAAAATATGCCTTTCAATGTCAGAAACCACACAAGCAAGTCTTTTTGAGTGAGTACAAGCTGTATTCCATGATTGGGTGGCCATATGTGTATGGCTGATATTATATTTATATATTTATATATAACATATATATTTATAAATGTGTACTTAAAGGTCAAAGACATTTTAAACATAGTTAAAATGTCTCTCACAACAACCTATGAGCATGTTTCAGATAAATAACTTAAAACATTAATAAAACCCATCCAGTATGTAGAAAACACTATTTTTGCCTGTGTCAAGCCCACATAATTACATTTATCTTGAAATATAATCACTTCAACAATGGTATTATTTTGGCATTAACATGTGAACCTGTTTAGCATCTGATGCTTGAAACATCATTTTTCTTGAGTCATCCACTATAGATTACGAAAAATACACATTTTAGTTCTGTCCCTCACCATTCACTCAACCCTGTTACCCGAACACATTTCCTCAACCCTGTAACCTGAACAATTTCCTCAACCCTGTAACCCGAACACATTTCCTCAACCCTGTAACCTGAACAATTTCCTCAACCCTGTAACCCGAACACATTTCCTCAACCCTGTAACCTGAACACATTTCCTCAACCCTGTAACCTGAACACATTTCCTCAACCCTGTTACCTGAACAATTTCCTCAACCCTGTTACCTGAACATATTTCCTCAACTCTGTTACCTGAACAATTTCCTCAACGCCGTAACCTGAACACGTCCTCAACCGTTACCCGAACACATTTCCTCAACCCTGTTACCTGAACACATTTCCTCAACCCTGTTACTCAAACACTTTTCCTCAATCCTGTAACCCGAACACATTTCCTCAACCCTGTTACCTGAACACATTTCCTCAACCCTGTTTCCCGAACACATTTCCTCAACCCTGTTACTTGAACACTTTTCCTCAATCCTGTAACCCGAACACATTTCCTCAACCCTGTAACCCGAACACATTTCCTCAACCCTGTTACCCAAACACATTTCCTCAACCCTGTAACCTGAACAATTTCCTCAACCCTGTAACCCGAACACATTTCCTCAACCCTGTAACCTGAACAATTTCCTCAACCCTGTAACCCGAACACATTTCCTCAACCCTGTAACCTGAACACATTTCCTCAACCCTTTAACCTGAACACATTTCCTCAACCCTGTTACCCGAACAATTTCCTCAACCCTGTTACCTGAACATACTTCCTCAACCCTGTTACCTGAACACATTTCCTCAACCCTGTTACTCGAACACTTTTCCTCAACTCTGTTACCTGAACAATTTCCTCAACGCCGTAACCTGAACACGTCCTCAACCGTTACCCGAACACATTTCCTCAACCCTGTTACCTGAACACATTTCCTCAACCCTGTTACTCAAACACTTTTCCTCAATCCTGTAACCCGAACACATTTCCTCAACCCTGTTACCTGAACACATTTCCTCAACCCTGTTTCCCGAACACATTTCCTCAACCCTGTTACTTGAACACTTTTCCTCAATCCTGTAACCCGAACACATTTCCTCAACCCTGTAACCCGAACACATTTCCTCAACCCTGTTACCTGAACACATTTCCTCAACCTTGTTACCTGAACAATTTCCTCAACCCTGTTACCTGAACACATTTCCTCAACACTGTTTCCCGAACACATTTCCTCAACCCTGTTACCCGAACACATTTCCTCAACCCTGTTACCCGAACACATTTCCTTAACCCTGTTACCTGAACAATTTCCTCAACGCCGTAACCTGAACACGTCCTCAACCCTGTTACCCGAACACATTTCCTCAACCCTGTTACCTGAACACATTTCCTCAACCCTGTTACTCGAACACTTTTCCTCAATCCTGTAACCCGAACACATTTCCTCAACCCTGTTACCTGAACACATTTCCTCAACCCTGTTTCCCGAACACATTTCCTCAACCCTGTTACCTGAACACATTTCCTCAACCTTGTTACCTGAACAATTTCCTCAATCCTGTAACCCGAACACATTTCCTCAACCCTGTTTCCCGAACATATTTCCTCAACCCTGTTACCCGAACACATTTCCTTAACCCTGTTACCTAAACACATTTCCTCAACCCTGTTACCTAAACACATTTCCTCAACCCTGCTACCTGAACACATTTCCTCAACCCTGTTACCAAAATTATAAATTGAAATAAATTACTCAAAAATGCATTTTAAGTACATCATTAGAATGTTCTTAATGTCCTAAATGTCACTAGCATTTAGGGTGCTATTTACACATGAATAGCACCCCAGCTGCATTAGTCTCATAACTCCAGTACAAAACTAAGGAAGCAAACTTTGGACACCAAACATGTCTCAAATTTATGCAGATCTATTTACAGTAAAAGGAAAATTGTGCTAATTTGATTTTTGGCAGAACATTTGGTTTAAGAGTTAAAGATTTTGTGCTTCTCACAATCCACCAACAAACCAGAGATACAGCATACTGTGCTAATCAGACAGCAACGTATTGGCAGTGAGTGGATGAAATGAGGCCGAGGGATGCCTGCCAGGCGGTTTGCTGGTGCCCACTCTGATCATGGCAAAGCTGGCGAGGGCCGGCACTTGGTGATCACGGCTAATGAGTACAAACACGCCTAGTAATCGTTTGCATCTCTGCAAGGCCAAAGCCCATGCACCTGCAATACCTGGCAGACATTTTTTTCCCACGTGGGGTGTGATGGGAATGCAAAATAATCTGTTCCATTCCCCACTTTCTCTACTCAATCTGTATTCCGCTGTCTCCTTGCTCGCTCTCTGCATGGAATTCATTATGTCTTATCTGATCTTGTTTTATAGTTTGGCACCAGCGGGAAAGCGATGGAATGGTGGCCTGTTCTCCATCCCAGAGAAAAGTGTGGTGGAGTTAAAAGCAGCCTATGTCTCTCTTCTCTCTCTCTCCCTCGCTCTTCTCACTCTCTCCCTCTCTCCCCAGCCCAGACGTGTCCTGCCCACAGCAGCCACAGTAGCACAGTACTTATTGAGTATGGCAGAGAGGAGAGTTGGGGTCCCCACAGTGTTTCAGCTATAACTCTAATGAGCAGTTAATTAATGTACTTCGCTTTTAATATGAGCGTCCAACAGTTTCTCAAAACGCTGGCAATGAAGTGGCTGCAGTGTTTTTTTTCTCAGTGAGTCTCAGTGAATTAAGTAGCAGTGAATAGCACAAATATACTGGAAAAGGGCAAAGATGCATCAATATAAGAAAACAACACCAGAATACAGCAGCACTGTAAACTTACTGACTGACTGAAGGCTTACTGACTGACTGACCTATCCACACTCTGCCCACAAACAAACCGGTCACAAAATCAGGACATTTTAGCTGATAATTGGCATATAAATAGTTGTGATTAACAACGGAATTGTCTTTTTCGTTCACCGTATTCGACTATCAAAGTAGAGGCCCAAAGTGTCTTAATCTACTGATCTTGTTTCCCAACTGATGACAGAAACATTATAGCACCACCAGTCATAAACATAAGATTGTGAAAGGTAAATGATAGTGAGAAAACAACTGCAGCCACTTTAAAAAATTATGATCAGCTTACATAATAGCGGTCAGGTAATTATGTAATAACTGTGAAAGGCCTACCCAAAAATATGCTCTTTCACTGCACCTGATGCAAGGCTGCAAAAGCCAGTCAATCTAATATAAAACTGTAACAAACAGTTCTCCCCAAAATACTGATATTTAGTTATTAATTTCAAATTATATTTATTTTGTATGAGTATTAAAGGTTACATTGAGAAGATATTAACTAGACAGGAAACTGACTAGTTTTGACAAGCTACAACAGTCCAACTCAGTAATGTAGCATTGTAAGCTCAACATTACATAGCAACTTCAAACAAACGTCTGACGTGAATGATTTAGGTATTTTAAAAAAAGGTTCTGCTAGAATTTCTAGGTTAAGTGGAGCTTTTGACAATGTTCTGTAAAGCTTCGCAGTTACAACAAGATACATTTGATAAACAGGTTAATTCAATGGAGGTAATTGTTGGTGCAAATAACACAAATGCAATGAAGGATGAATATGCATCTACATATGAACAAACAGTTACACAACACTGTAACTTCAAAGTAGCAAACTTGCTGACTAATACAGCCAGTGTAGTAATAAGTCACTGGGCTCTTAAACCAAAAAGCGCACCACAAACTTGTTGCTGTAGACATAAATGTAAATAGTATTTACCAACATGACACTTTCAATATAGCTGACTGACTGACATTGACCGTTATTACACAATGTATAGATGTTTTACATTATTACAGTATGTAGAGATATTTCAATGGGCTCTTACCAAAAAAGTGCACCACAAAGCCGTTGTTGTAACCGTAAATGTTGGTGGCCGGGTCAGACTGGAACTGGATGGTGACATCAGCTGTGGATGTGTAGAGCTTGAAGCGTGGTCGAGAGCCGCTGTACTGGCCGAGTATCTTAGCCGTCAGGTCGTCTCCATCATAGAAGGTCAGCAGGTCATTCTTTCCCATGTGGAGGCTGCAGGCAGACATTGTACATCTTTAGTTAATCTCAGCTCTGTCTCAGCTGCTCTCCCCCCTTTTCCCAACAAATGTGCTTGTTTTTGCCAGTGTTGGCTTTACCAGTTTTCAACTTCATTCTAAAGTGAAAAGAACTTTCCTTGTTCTAACACTCTTCACTGTTTTGTCCTCATCAGGGCCCCCCAACCACACATCTATCAATAAGTCAACATATTTATAACAAAAGAGGAATGCTGCTTTCCAGGGGACATACATAATATCATTTTATATTGATGCACACCTTATATTAACACATTAACACAGGAACTCCATCTGCTATCAGTGTTAACAGGTAAAGGTTGGGCTAAATAAAATGAACACCGGCTAAAGTTGGCAAATATATGCCATATATAAGTCATGAAGGTGACATTACAGCAAAACTATGGATAATCTAAACAGACAAATCTCAAATCTCAAACAATGTAAGTTTTCCTGTTGCTGTTATTATGTTATTTTTTTAACAATCATGTTTCCAGGGTCCCCTAGTGGCCAGGGCCCTGGGCTGCAGGCCCTTATGGTATGGTGGCTGACATGATCGAATGCACAGCATAATGAAAAATGCAGTGCAAACTCATACGTGCGATGCTGTACCTCACTACACCTGAACTACATTTCACAAACATGCTGCAAATACAGAAAACTATGGAGACCTGCTGGTGACATCCCATATAAATAAAGATAATGAGTGGAATGCGTGGCCACGACTTAGTAAGGCATGATCTCGTTCCCACACCTTACTAAGTTGTGGCTGCAACTTAATTATCTTGTTCCCATGCCTTACTAGGTCATGGCCATGCATTATTTTTATTTATACAGGATGTCACCAGTAGGGCTCTGTAGAAAACACATGTAACATCAGAAACACTGCAAAGCCAGTCACAACAGAACTGAAGTGAGAAACACCACACAATACAACAGAAATGTTTCTGGATAACTCTCAAAGGGGATGGAATATCTGTGATAGAAAATCACTGACAGAAGTTGTTAAGACCATGGAGACTCAAGAAATGTCATAGCTGTACTATGCCAGTTATCAGTCATATCTGGTATTGCTATTTGAAATTTTACAGTTACACTCTACAGCTAATTCCCATTAGCACAGAAGTACAGTGATATAAATTATCTACTCAAATAAAAGTCAAGTTACTTTTCCTGGTGAACGTTTATGCCGCATAAAATTTAAAAGTTTGAATGGAGTGTCCTCCGGAAACATTTCCATTGTGTTGTGACTAACTTTGCAGCATTTCGATTGTTGCCTGTGTTGTCTGTATTTGCAGTGCATTTGTAAAATGTAGCTCAGGTGTAGTTATTTTAGACAAAAGTGTTTTCTGTGTTTGCAGCTTATTTTTTAAATTTGCAGTGCATTGGGGCTTGTCGGCCACCATATTAAGCCCTATAGCTTAATACAGCCTTGGTCCTTATAAACAACACACCACATACTTTTGCCTTTCTGTGTGTCTCCCTGGCCCTGGACACAGCACACACGGCAAATGACTGGACAGCAAGACAGCAAGGTAGAGCTGTCTTAGTTACCATTATGTTCCTCTGCTGTCCAGCCTAATCTTTAGAAATAGCTGGAAAATCAATTTCTCTCAGTACGCCAGCCAGCGTTAGAGCATGCTGTAACCCAGTTGTAGCAATCTCAGAAGCAGCAGCAGCATGACAAAAGACTGATTTCACCTGCCACTTCCACCTGTCCGCTTAAGATGGCTTCAGTAGCTGTGGAGACAAACCAGTTTCAATTACCTCAGCAATTATTCATGCTGTAATGACTGATGCTACTGTATTTCACAGAGCCATTTCAAACGTCTTATCTAACATCTGACAGCGCTTCCCTGTCAGTTCGTCTTAGCGTCGTGCGTGGATGTTATTAAAAATGTGAGGGAAGCTGGGAATGGAGGGCAAACAGGAGCAGAGTAGAGGAATAAAGCACTGAATGGTCTGGGGAACATATGACCTTCTGAATGTACTGTAATGCCATTAAAGAAGCAGACAGCTGAACAAAGGTGTTCAGAAATCCCCTTCCATTTGTGCTTGACAGATGTAAAGAAGAAACATGACATCTATTAAGAACTATGAAAGTATCGCACTTGATGTATCCATGCTCCGCCACCAAACGTGTATCTTTCCTGCCGTGAGGTAAGACATGCTTCAACATAAAATTGCAAAATATTCATACAACCTAATGAAAAACTGTAGTTCTCTTTATGAAGAGTTGCCACATTTTTAAAAATGAAGGTTGCAAACTCAACCAAAAAGGGTTCGTTGGAGCGACGCCATGGAAGAACCAATGGTTTCCTTGGGGACCTTTCTAAAGATGTTTGAAATGTTCATTGAAGGTATGAGGATGTTCATAGAATGATTCTAAAGAACCATTACCACCAATAATTAATTAGCAAAGAAGTGAAGATTTCTCTTAGAACCATACATTCAAGTCTTTAGGAACCCTTTTTTTTGTTAAGAGTGTACATAATACAGAGTTTTCAGTTTAAAATGCTAGGCTACTGACACTATGTTGTTGTAGTTAATGGAAACTGGCCATTTTGGAAAGACAATGACAAACTTACAGCCGTACTAATATTAGGTCAGTTATATACACAGACACACACACACACACACACACACACGCACGCACACACACACACACACACACACAGACATATGCAGAAAGTACTGTGTGAGAGTCATAAATTGGTATTACATAAGTTATTCAATGCTTAAGCATTAAGAAAAATAGCAAGGAACATATTTCACTGATAATTACACTCAGAATTTGTCTCTACATTAAACATATAATTTTTTTTCAGCATTTAGTTTGTCCAGTCTTTGTCTTTATTACAGAAAGGAGTTTAGTGTTTCAGAGAAATCTGCAGGGATGTTTTCCCACACCTAAAAAAGTTCAGTCTAAGGAGTTGCTGCTTCTCTCAATTCAAATAATTCCAAACACAATCAGTGATGCTGAGGTCTGGACTCTGGGGAGGTCAGTCCATTGTTCTCAGAACACCAGCAGCTTCTTTATTTCATTTGCAAATGTTTTTTGTTTGGTTTCTTTTCTACAACAGCTACACACCCTTTCAGATCTACAGCTCTGAGTTGTCTGTCTTCTCACAGTGGAAGGATGTACAGAAACACCTGTGGATTTTTCAGATCTGAAGTAAGAGTGGAGCTTGATTTTCTCCTCTCTCTCAAAGAAAAAAGCTTTAAGTACTGTTTATCTGATGGGGACAGTTTTGGTGGTCTAACAGGTCTTGTATGGTTGTTAGGAGTCCCATTTTCCTTATATCTTTTAATCGTTTTTGAAATCCAGGTTTGGAAACTGTTGTTTCATTTATTTATTCACTTTCCTCTTCTTTATGCAAGTGGATTAAATTAGTTCTCCTCAGAAACCTCTGAAAAATGACTAATTTGTATCTAAGCATAATTTTAACTGTAAATTAAATAAATGATTTATCCTACCAGCCTGACCTTTCACACACATACAAAATAAATATCATTTTAAAGTAATAATTTTAATTACATGGATTTTGACAAGTTAGGTACAGTCTTGTTAGGTTGAATGTGATTTTTTTTCAAAGTTCTGTCAAGATTGTGTAGCCTAGCAACAGTTGCTAGAAAAGAAAGCATTCTGGGTGGAGCATGGATTAATTAGGTCAGTTCTAATGTAGCAATCCACATCTATTTATTCAGTTTTTTTCTTGCTGTGAGATGAACCCTATCTCGCTCAGAGCAGACCCTGGCAGGCTAGCAAACAGGGTACGCAGTCCTGCAGTGAGGTGACACACACACACACTCGGGCTTGTCCCTAATTAATCACAAGTGGCCGGTGATGGAACTCATTACAGAGGAAAGAGGAATAATTAATCATCTTTGCTCCTCCATAGCGGCAAGCATAAAAGCAGTGTTGGCGCAAAATGGAGACAGGATGTTCAACGTGTGCAAAAAGCAGAATGCAAAAACACACACAGGCACATGAGCACATACAGGCACATTACTGCAGCCACAAGCTTGTTTGGTAACACTTTACTGTAGAGCACCTCCGCCAATCTACAGTGCTTCAAAGATCAGATAATGAACATCTCCGGTTTCCTGACGATTACAATAAAGAGTAATGTGTTGTTGGAGAGGGAGCATAACGCCCATGAATCCTGTAAAATCTGAACTATGTTACTCTTATTCTTATATGAGGTACGGCGCTCAAAATTTCTCTGGCTATCCAGACCTCTGAAGCCGGTGAGCATCTCAGCAAGGACACTTAAGGTGCACATAAGTCACTTACAAATTTTCGACATTCCGGAGTCCATATCTCTGGTTCTCTGAAAGCTAGCAATGCGATCCAGGGCTTGTCACTCTCTACTGACCTGTGGAGTTTGGCTTCGTCATGCATTTTTAAAGTCGGATTTTTAAAGTCACTTTGCAAAGCAAAGCATTCCCTTCTCCTGTGATTTTATTCATGACGTCATCAGCGATTAGTTAACGTTGACATGACTTTCAACACATAACTGTCAAAAATCTGAAGTCATACAACCCCTAATGTCAAATTGCTATAACATTTATATCAGAAATATATTTTTTTTGTGTTATGACACTTTCTGGGTGACGCTGTAACTCAATGCTGATTTGACACAGCTTGCCAAGTCAGGTTAGTTATACAAAAGTGAGCATTTTCTGTGGGCCTTAGGCTGCCTTTACACTGTGAAAGTTCATGCAACTTTGGTTGCTTGGAACATGCAACTAAATTGCACTTAAACTTGAAGCTCAGCTTCAAATGTTGCAAGAGTCTCAACTTCATGAAAGAAGGTTTGTGAAACAGTTGATCAAAACAGAAATAACACTCCTTGTGATAATTTTACACAGAGCTCAGATTAATCTGGCATCCAAAGGATAAACATTTTACAGAAGGGGAAGCTGTGATCTGGACCATGATGAACTTTTTGTTTTTTTTAAGGCAGAATGAGCGAG